CAGTGAGGGTGGTGGGACAGACAGAGAGAAACTGGTCCCTAACGGCACGAAGGGACTCAGGGAGACGGGTGACTAGAAAGTAGAGAGTGATGTACATGGGAGGAGGGTTTGCGGCGCGGAACTCAGCAGGAAGCGCAGCGCGGTAGCGAGTGTCACTAGCGCGGAGGTGGGTAAAGAGGTCAGCGACTGTGGGAAAGGCAGCGAGGTCAGGGAAGAGGAACGGTAGCATGAGGCGGCTCAGCGTAGCGGAGGAAGGGGAGGAGTAGCGCGCAACTAAGGCCTGAGCGGTCTTGCACTGACTAAAGTGTGCACGCTCGGAGGAAGGGAGGTGGCGACGCACAGCAAGACGTGCAGCAGCATCGCGCGTGGCCCACTTGGAGCGAACAGAGGGGTCAGCATCAGCAGGAGGGGCAGGGACAGCGCCAGAGACAAAGTCAAAGAGAGAAACCTCATCGATCGCATCGCACAGTAAGTACAGCTGCAGGTCCTCGACCCAGACTGCAAAGTCAACGGCGCGACCCTCAGCGTCAAAAGACTGGACACTGGGGGTGGCCATTATAGCAGCTGACAGTCTCACCGGGCGGGAAGAGTCGGGTAGCTCAGGAGTACAGCCACACAGCAGCACAGCAGCTACGGCGGCCCAGGAGCAGCAGCAGCCCCCACAGGAACAGGAGGCCGACACCTCAGGCTGCTCGGGCGGCTCGGGCGGCTCGGGCGACTCGGGCGGCTCGGGCGGCTCGGGCGGCTCGGGCGGCTCGGGCGGCTCGGGCGGCTCGGGCGGCGCAGGCGTCTTGCGGGCGACAGCACGGGCGGCTGGGGCGGCTCGCGGATGGCGCACGGGCGGCTGGGGCGGCTGCACGGGCGGCGCACGGGCGGCTTACGGGCGGCTGGGGCGGCTGCACGGGCGGCTCGAGGGCGGCGTCGGCTGCTCACGGGCGGCGTCGGCGGCGACGGCGGCGTCAGCGGCTCACGGGCGGCGTCGGCGGCGTCGGCGGCGTCGGTGGCTCACGGGTGACGTCGGCGGCGTCGGCGGCGTCGACGTCGTGGGCGGCTCACGGGCGGGCGGCTCACGAGCGGGCGGCTCACGGGCGAGCGGCTCACGGGCGGTGGCTCACAGGCGGCGGCTCACGGGCGGCAGCGTCACGGGCGGCGGCGCACCAGCGGCGGTTGACGCGCGGCTGCGCTGACGGGCGGCGCTCACGGGCGGTGCTCACGGGCGGCGCTCACGGGCGGCGCTCACGGGCGGCGGCGCACGGGCGGCAGCGCACGGACAGGCCGCGGGCGGCGAACGGGCGCTAGGGCGGGCGCCGGGCGCTAGGGCGTTAGGGCAGGCGCTAGGGCGGGCGCTAAGGCGGCCGCTAGGGCGGGCGCTAGGGCGCTAGGGCGGGCGCTAGGGTAGGCGCTAGGGCAGAAAAAAATTTTAAGTGGTGGGCCCTAAGTACAGTTCCCACAGGGGAACCTGCTCTGATTCCATGAGAATAAGCGAACGAGAATGAAATGACTATGAATGAAGTGAGTACAAATAGGAAACCCTAGTTGGGTTGTACCCCCTATGGGATACCCCACTATAGCCTACACAAATAAGTAAGCTATAACATTCTGACACCCGACGCGTTGCATCAGCAACTGTGGTCGTCGCATGCCGTGGCATATATTGCATGTAATGCTGTTTCTGATTTTCTTCGTCTTTCAATTCAACTGCAGGTGGTCTGTTTTTTCTTGCAGGTCGGCCCCTTGTGAAAGCTTTCGTGACGACATTTGCACGTTGTGTTTTCTTCTGTTCATTGAGTTCCGTTTTCTTGCTAACATTTGTTTTCACCGTGCAGCCCCTGCATTTCGTTGTTTGAGTATTGTTAGGTTAAACATACGGTAGCGTTTCTTGATGTTCACTGGTCGTCTTTTCACGTATTAATCACGATGTACATTTCATTCTAAATCAACCCACTATACAATCGTTTTCAAAAGTTGCGATTGGCTATTCATTTGCGAATTTGACGGTATTGCCCAAATGAAACTATATAATGAAATATATATGTTGCATATAGCCTATTGAATGTAGAAAGTGCAAATATATAGTGTTAAAAATCAGAATCGTTATTCTGCCACCCGGTTACTCTTCTACAGTATCAATCGTTAATTTCGCTGTCACTAGTAACATGGAGCCGCGGCTCGAATTGCAAGTTGCGCAAACAGCCAGATCAACATCGTCAATGGTCATTTACGAACTGGGCGAAACCTGAGAAAAGTAGAACGAGAATGGATCAACTATGGAATGGAAGTGATACAAATATGCAACCCTAGAAATGTGTACCCCATATGAGCTACCCCACTATAGCCTACACAAGATTATAATTTGACACACCCCCATAGGCAAAGTGGGGGAGAACAAGGGGTCACGAGACCAGTCAAGCAAAGCGAAGCAAAGATCAGGGTGGATCACAAAGTCACCACACATTCCGAGCACAAGTTCAAGGCCAGAAGGCCAGTTCACATGCAGGAGCACATATATATATATATATGTATATATAAGAGGCTAAGCAAGCAAGAGCAAGAGTATATATATGTGACAGTACAAGCAAGGTCAAGAAGTGAGCGAGTGTGGTAAGACAGGCACAAGACCAAGCTGAGTACGGAAGCGCTGATGATAACAAGGCGCAAGCGCCTTGGTGAAAACATCAGCAGTGTTGGCCTCGGGGGCCACGTACGCAAGTCGCAACTGACCACGCTCCTGTAGCTCACGAGCAAGGAAGTAGCGAAGAGCAATATGCTTTGTTCTGTGCTCCAGTCGCTGCTCTCGTACAGGACTGGAGGAGAACGAGGCGGCTCTCCAAGGTCGGTCAGAAGGTAGGTGAGCCAGCGAAGCTCCTGGGCAGCCATGGCCCCGGCGTAGATCTCAGCCTCACAACTGGAGCCGAGAACAGAAGACGAGCGGGTAGCCCGCCACGAAACAGAGCCGGAACCAAGGCTGAAGGTGTAACCCTGTGACGAACGCTGCGTAGCCTGGTCGTCAGCCCAAGAAGCGTCCGCGTGCCCAGTGAGGACCACTGGACTCCGCCCTCCAAGCACTAGCCCCATGCCCGACGTACTGCACAAGTAGCGCAACACCCTCTTCGCTGCAGCCATGTGCTCTGGTCGGTGTCTCCCAGGAGCAACATAGCGTGCAAGAATGCTAAGAGGGTATGCAAGGTCAGGTCGTGTGCAGGTCATCAGGTACATGAGGCAATCAACAAGCTCTGGATACGGGCCACTCGACTCTACGGACTCATCCGAAGGCAGAGCTGAGAGTGAGTGGCGAGTAGGCAGAGGAGTGGCCTGAGGCGAGGAGTACGTGAAGTCGAAGCGCTGAAGGACCTGCTGCACCATGTGTGACTGAGTCAGGGTAATGGTGCGAGCTCTACCCGGGTGATCTGCAAGCCAAGGTAGCTGCGCAGTTCACCCAGGTCTGTGCACGTGTGTCTCTTCTGCAGCTCGGACTTCACGTAGGCGAGTCCAGCAGTGTCAGCAGTGGCAAAGACCAAGTCGTCGACGTACACGAGGATGTAGAACGGCGGCAGAGAGGTGTCGGTGCGCAGAAACAGCGATGGGTCGGCAGTAGAAGGAGCAAACCCAAGAGCCGCAAGCGTAGTCCTCAGTGTGTCGTGCCACTCACGTGGCGCCTGGCGGAGACCGTAGACTGAACGCCGGAGACTCCACTGGGTACCAGGAGGGAAAGACCCAGTGAAGCCAGGTGGGCGGCGCAGCCAGATCTCCTCGTGCAGGCTGCCCTGCAAGAAAGCAGTGCTGAAGTCAAGAGAGTGCAGCTCGTAGTCACGGTGAGCAGCAACGTGCAGCAGTACCCGAAGAGTAGTCATCTTCGGGGTGGGGGAGAAGGTCTGAAAGTAGTCAACTCCCTGCCGCAGACTGAAGCCACGAGCCACGTAACGCGCCTTGAAGACAGGCAGAGAACCCGGCGGCCGCTTCACCCTGAAGATCCACATGCCACTGACGATGTTCGCCCCAGGAGGGGGGACAGCGTCAACGTAGGTGCCTGTGGACTTCCAGGAAGCCATCTCTGCATCCATAGTTGCCTGCCACTGAGAGGAGTAGGGACCCTCTATCGCCTCCGCGTAAGAGCGCGGAGTCGGGATGTCAAGTGCATCCGGGTCTCCCTCAGGGGTAAGCAGTACGGACACGAGATGAGGTGAAGCAGCTGCCAGACACTGGAACTCCTCCTGCCTGTCCTCAAGGACGTCCGTGCCAAGGGCACACTCACCCCCGACGGAGGGAGGACAGACAGACGCAGACTCAGCGACAAGACTAGTAGCGTAGTCTAGGCGACAGCGAGCAGCAAAGTCGACGAGCTCAGTGACGAGGGCAGACTCCGGATCGGCAAGAGCAGGAAGAGAGGACTCAGGAGGAGAAGGCAAAGGGGCACGCAGAGGAGCAGTAGACGGACGCAGAGACATCCGGTGTGTGCCAAGGACAGGAGGAGGACACTGACGCGAACCGCGACCATTAGTGCGAGCAACACGAATAGGCGACGCAGGACGAGACGCAGGCTCACGACGCTCAGTTAGACCTCCAGTAGGACCAGCATAGGGAGAAGGAGCAGGCAAAGGGGAGGCAGGCCGTAGTTGTGACTGTGACGGGACAGGCTATGGACCCTCTAAGGGAGGAGGAGGACCAGTAGAAGGTGGAAGACCAAGAACCTGCTGCAGGAGTGGAACGAAGTACGGTCGAGGCCGCGTGGCGACGCTAGAAACAGCAGGGACAGCACCAGCACCCGCAGCAGGAGCACCCGCTCCAGCAGCACCTCCAGCAGCTCCTGAACCTCCACCAGCACCAGGAGCACCCCCAGCAGGACCGCCAGTGGTAGTCTCAGCGCCAACACCCTCAGCAGTACCAGCTCCAGTCGAACCTGCAGGCCGAGCAGCTCCAGTACTCCCAGGACGAGCACCTCCGGGACCCGCGACAGCAGCACCCTCAGTAGCCGAAGAACCTCCAGCACCAGCAGCACGGCTCTAGCGCCGGGCAAACCACTCGCGCAGCTCCTGTGGAGAGAGTGGCTCCCGGCGAGACGAAGCACCCGGAGAACCTCCAGGCTCAGCACCCCCAGGCAAAGCACCTCCAGGCTCAGCACCCCCAGGCCCAGCACCCCCAGGCAAAGCACCCCCAGGCTCAGCACCCCTAGGCTCAGCACCCCCAGGCGCAGCACCCCCAGGCTCAGCACCCCCAGGCTCAGCACCGCTAGGCTCCGCACCCCCAGGCTCAGCACCCCCAGTCTCAGCACCCCTAGGCTCAGCACCCTCAGCAGCACCAGAGTCACCAGTGCCCTCGTCAGACTCGACTGCGTCTACCTGCGACACACCTTAAGGGGCAGGACCCTGAGGGGGGAGGGGGTCTACCGGGGGGGGGACCTGGTACAAGGAAGAGCGGGGACCGGGGGAGGGACGGAGTGCGGTAGGGGAAGAGGCGGTAGTAGGGGACCGACTCGTCGAACGTGACATCCTGGGAGGACAGAACACGGCGAGAGGTGGGGTGGTAGAACTGCCACCCAGGCGCGTCGGGGGGGAACCCCAGGAAGACGCAAGGAGCAGCGCGAGGGGACAGCTTGTCCGCAGACAAGTCGCGGACAAACGCCCGAGATCCCCAGACTCGGAACGCCGACGCATCGCCAACCTTCCCCGTCCACAGCAGGGCTGGGGAGGTCTCCGGCATGGAGACCCTGGGCTGAAGGTTGATCTGATGCGCCGCGTACCTGACCGCAAACAGCCACAGAAAATGGGGGGCAGCCGCATGCATCATAGACGTACGAGCGACGTCCATGACCATGCCAATGCGGCGCTCAGCAATCCCATTTTGCTGCGGTGAGTCCGGAAGCGTGAAGGTCTAACGGATGCCTCGTGCACGACAGTATGCTCGCAGAAGGCCAGAGGAGAACTCTCCGCCTCTGTCCGCGTGCAGACGCAGAACAGGAAAGTCCGAGCCAAAGCTCTGCCTGAGCTGGAGACGAGCTGCGCGGATCCAGTCGATCAGCACCTCAGTGACATCACCCTTGCTGCGCAAGGGGAAGACTGTGGTGTAACGCGAGTAATCGTCAACAACGAGCAGGAAGTAGCGCTCGTGACCCTGTCCACGGACGCGGGCTGGGCCCCACATGTCCATGTGAAGCGTCTGCAACGGGGCCTCTGTCGGAGGAAACTGGGAGGAGTGAGGGGCAGCACGCTGGCGCCCCTCGACACAGGGGACACAGGCAGGGCGAGGGCCCTGAGGAAGGGGAGGGAGGGACCGGGGGAGACCAGACACAAGAAGACGGGAGGCCATGCCTCTGAGCCGAAGCAGAGAGGGGTGACCAAGGCGGTGGTGCCAGAGGAGAGTCTCGTGAGACAGGAGACGACACGAACAGGGGGCAGACTCAGGACCAGACCTGGACGCTGCAGCAAACACCTGACCCGACGCAGCTACCCTACCAGACTCAGCAACGGGAGGAGACGCAGTGGTCAGTGTGTACAGGCTCGACCCCGGCTGACGGGTAAACGTAGCTAGGTGTCGGCATGTGCTAGCCTGTATGCAGTGGGTCACCCGCTGGCGCGCAGGAGTGAACTGGTGGACACCCGCATCCTGTAGGTCAGCACCACTCACCAGGTTCGTAGAGAACGAGGGGAGGTAGAGACCAGACAGGGTGCCAGAGGGAGCCGCCGGACACGGGAGGACAGTGGAGAAGCGAGACAGGACAGGACCCCCAGAGGGGTTAGCCAGAGACACCGCAACCGGCCGACTAAGCGGCGTGAGTGAGGTGCGGTCCCGAAAGAAGGAGCGAGACGCTCCAGAGTCAAGGGTGAAGGTGAGGGAGGCCGAAGCCGCCGTAGTACCTGAGAGCGCAGACTCACCAGTACCTGAGAGCGCAGACTCACCAGTACCTGAGAGCGCAGACTCACTGGCACCTAGAGCAGTAGCCTCACCAGTACCTATGCCCGGGTCGGGCGGGAAACACCGGTAACAGTCACCCTCATCACTAATAGTCACAGCATACATGGCAGCAAGGATAGCATCAAAGCCAAGATCATAGATAGCTACGCCTGCCCTAGACAGCTCTCCCCAGCGGGGGATCTCAGTGGCCTCCGGGAACTGCTGACGCCAAGCGTCTGTCAGGCGGCCAAAGCAGCGCTGGGTGGGGTGGGCACCCCCACACTGCTCACCCGCGCGGTCGCCGGTGCGAAGGACGTAGGTGCAGGGACAAAAACCCCCACCACGTTGACGCTGCGTGTACCACTCACGGAGCTGCTGAGGGGGGGGGATGTCACGAGAACGCTGCTGCTGCTGCTGCTGGCGCTGACCACCACCAGTGCTGCTCCGCTGCGAAGCGCCACCCCGACCACCTCCACCACCTCCACCACCGCCTCCTCCACCTCCGCCACCACCGCCGCCTCCGCCAGTACCGCCGCCGCCTCCGCCTCCCCCGCTGCCACCGACACCTCCACCCCCGCCACCACTCCCACCGCCACCCCCACTCCCTCCGCCGCCTCCACCTCCACCTCCACCGCCCCCGCTAGTTCCCCCCGCGCCCTTGCCCCCCTTGCCCTTGCCAGGGCGGCGTCTCCCGCTAAGGGGAGACGCCGCACCGACCGACTCAAGACCAACGAGGTCGGCCGCAGCGGCAGAGGCGACAGAGGGCAAAAGGGGGGAAGGAGAACACCCCTCAAAGATGGGGGTGCGAGGGTCATCACGAGAGGCCCCTACAGCGACTATGCTCTTCTCGGCCGCTAGGAGGGACTTCTCGAGGAGGTCTACAGTGAGAGTGGTGGGACAGACTGAGAGGAAGTGGTCCCTGACTACACGAAGGGAGTCAGGGAGACGAGTGACTATGAAGTAGAGAGTGATGTACCGGGGGGGGGGGGGGTTCTTGGCGCAGAAGTCAGTAGGAAGCGCAGCGCGGTAGCGAGTGTCACTAGTGCGGAGGTGCGTAATGAGGTCAGCAACTGTGGAAAGGCAGCAAGGTCAGGGAAGAGGTACGGTAGCATGAGACGGCTCAGTGCAGCAGTGGCAGGGGAGGGGTAGCGTACAACTACAGCGTCGTACAAGGTCTGAGCACTCTTGTACTGACTAAAGTGCGCACGCTCAGAGGTAGGGAGGTGGCGACGCACAGCAAGACGTGCAGCAGCATCGCGCGTGGCCCACTGGGAGCTAACAGTGGGGTCAGCATCAGCAGCAGGGGCAGGAGAGGTGCCAGAGGTGAGGTCAAAGAGAAAGACCGTCTACCCTATCGCACTCTAGGAATAGCTGCAGGTCGTCGACCCAGACCTCAAAGTCAGTGGCGCGACCCTCAGCGTCAAAAGCTAGGACACTAGGGGTAGCCATGACAACAGTAGACTAGCAGCACTAACTGTAGGACAGGGGCAGTGCAGTCACAGAAGTGCTGCTCTCACCAGACAGGGCGGTTCGGGCAGCTCAGTAGCACAGCAACACGGCAACACTGCTGCTCGGATGGCTCAGCAGCAACTGCAGCTCCGCGGTACCAGCGGCTCGGCTCCTCAAACGGCTCGGGCGGCTCGGGTGGCTCGGGCGGCTCGGGCGGCTCGGGTCCTCAGCGGCACAGGCGGCTCGGGCGGCTCGGCTCCTCAGCGGCGCTGGCGGCCCGGGCAGTTCGGGCTGCTCGGGCGGCTCGGGTGGCCCAGGTGGCTCGGGCGGCTCGGGCGGGTCGGGCGGGTCGGGCAGCTCGGGCGGTTCGGGCGAGTCGGGCGGTGAAGGGCGGCGGGGCCGCAAGGTAGGTGGCGGGGCCGCAGTGGTAGAGGCGGCGGGGCCGCAGAGAAGGGCGGCGGGGCCGCAGAGAATGGTGGCGGGGCCGCAGCGAGAGAGGCGGCGGGGCCGGGACGAAGGGCGGTGGGGCCTCAGTGTGAGGCTGCGGGGCCGCAGTGAAGGGCGGCGAGGCCGCTGAGAGAGAGGCGGCGGAGCCGCGACGAAGGGCGGCGGGGCCGCGTCGACTGGCGGCGGGGCCGTTAGGGCGGCGGGGCCTACTCGACGGGCGGCGGGGCCGAATCGACGGGCGGCGGGGCCGTTAGGGCGGCGGGGCCTAATCGACGGGCGGCGGGGCCTCTAGGGCGTCTCGACAAAGTGAGAGAGAGCCCGGAGCGCGACTCAGGCCGAGCGCGCTTCGGGCAGGAGAGAAAAAAAAAAGACTCGATGTGGTGGGCCCTAGGCACAGTTCCCACGGGGGAACCTGCTCGATACTATGAGAAAAGTAGAACGAGAATGGATTGACTATGGAATGGAAGTGATACAAATATGCAACCCTAGAAATGTGTACCCCATATGAGCTACCCCACTATAGCCTACACAAGATTATAATTTGACAAAACCTGGCTATACATTGAGCACCCCGTAGCTCGAGCGATTTCAGTCGCACACAATTTCAACTGAAATCAACCATACAAAACCATCGATGCAGTCGTCGATCGAGGATGGCAATCGGGCGAACCCATCACACGTACACAGCCTGTGCAAAATATTGTCGAAAACCAACACCAACTACCCCAACCCTTCTAAAACGCCCCAACCCAGGCGCCAGAACTTTCTGATGTTGGTAACCCAGTAGCGCTGTAAGTTGATCGCATCCTGAGCCCCATAAGCTGCTGCAGGCCGCTGATTGGAAGGAGGTAGCGTTGGAGCGCCGTCCGCCAACCGGAGATCCAGATTGACCAATCGCGTGCAGGAATGGGAAGATTCGGTCGACACATGTCTGCGATATTGCCGCAACGCCGTTCCATGCCGCGCTTTTTCTTTCGCCTTCCTAAACGCGCGTCGCCAGCCGTCGATCGTACAGATGCATCGTGAGATGCGTCAAGGAGGAGCCGCATCCGTCGCAGATGGATCGCAGAGGTGGCGACATACAACGTCCGTCGTGAATTCGCTGAGGTGCAGATGGCGAAGGTTCGGGAATCCCGAGGTGGGTGAAACGAGGAGCGAGGCGAGACATTTCGATGAAAACAAACGATCGTAAGGCACGACGATGGCTGGATGCACGGATCTGGCGACGCGCAGCCATCGCTTGCACGTGAAAGCGTGGCGAAAGGCGACCAGCGAAGAAGTGGTAACCATACGTGCATCGCGCCTGACGGAAGAGGCTCGTACAATGCATTGTCAACCGCCTCTCGCGCAGAATGTCTTCGTTACTAGTACATTCAGAATCGTGGCCGTCGAATCTGGTGGTGGTCGCAGACACAACTTAGGGCGTGGCTCCATTTTGCTTTTTGACGGTTCGAACTGTCAGCGAGGCCGGTATCCTGCTTTCGACAATGCTCGCATAGCCTCTCATTTGACAACGTGTTTTAACGAGACGGGAAACCCTTTTCGCCGACGGTTCGAACCGTCAAAAATCAAAATGGAGCCACGCCCTTATGACCCCTTCGAGAACTCCGCTCTACTGTCTCGTTTACGACCCATCGAGATGCAGGCGCGGTACATATAGCATAAAGATTAGCAAGACTGCAATCATCAAGGATTAAAAACACACACGGTAACATCGCATAAACATCGTCAATTTCGAGTTTTGGATCATGCGACGTTTTGCAACGAGACCTTCGTACTACATCGTATCCGATCAGACGTAGCATCGCCACCGTCGTGCGTCTTTTTTTAGATCGTATATATCGATTGCGGGACAGTTTGTGACCGGAAACGAACGCGATTCGTCCCGAAAAAATACACGCTTGAACTCTGGTTTTCTCGTGCCATCTGCTGTACGAATTCTGTCCGATTTCTGCTGTCTGAACACATCGTGACGTTCTCGAATACGTCATTTTTGCCTCTGTTGCCATCACGGTTTGCAAATTTGAAGGTCCTCTCCAAGCTGGTGAGCAGGGATAGAACTCCTCAGAACGTACCCATACATACAGTACCACGCTAGTGCTGAACCTGTACTAGTAGCTTCTCCCTGTATAGACCTATTCTAGCCGTAAGCAGCAAGCAGCAAGCGGCGAAGCACGCACCGTCACTTCACCGCAAGTCCTTCTCATCATAGTTACAGTGGGGTGACGGATCGATATTGGGTTCTTTTATCAGTCTTCCGTGTTTTCGCCGCCCCTTCAGTCGCGAGTTGCAAGATCCCACGGAAAGAGTGCTAGGAGAGAGAAGATACGTCAGTGACATGGCCGGCGGGACTCGTCGAGCTGCAGCGACCAACGTGATTCTCTTAGATGACGAAGATGACGATGACGAGGATGACAATAACGTGGATGGCGTTGATGAGGATGAGATTGACGTGGTGGAATGGCGCGGTGGCGTGAAGGATACGCGATCGTTGAGGACGAGGCGAGTGGAGAAGCCGTTGGGGAATGATAGAGCGGCAAGACGAGCGCCAGGACGGTTGGCTAAGGGAAAGGGGAAGGTCGAGGAGGTAGAGGAGGTAGAGGAGGTGGAGGAGGAGGATGAGTGCGTGGAAGTAGCATCAGGCGCGGGACGCGCTAAAAGCAGTCTCGTTACTAATGGATGCAGTGCTGCAGGCGCGAATGCGAAGAGAGGAACGAAGCGGGACCGGGAGGAAAGTGGTAAGAAAGGCCGAGATGGGAGAAAGGGTTAGCTTGTTGTGGTGCGTCTGGAAACGTGGCTTTTGCCTGCCGCGCCTCCATGCCTCCCTACATCTTCCTCTCTCCGCCACTCTCTCCTGTCTCTTCCCCCTCCCAAGTTTCCAGCCTGGATTCGCATCATTTCATGGCAGCATTTCTGTTCAAGTCCGTGTCCATCTTTCGCCCCGCTCCTCCCCTCATCGTCATCTCCTTCATTGTCCCACAGGCGAAGCTTCAAAGCAGCTTCCACCCTTGTCGGGGTTTCAAGCGCAGCGCATCCGGGCAACGATGCAAGGCCGTGGGTGTCAGCCCATGGGCCGGCCGGCAGATTACGTCCCTTCCCTCCGCGCCGCCGCCCTCCTTCCTCCTCACAACAAAGCACCTCCTTCTCATCATGCCACCGCCACCGCCACCGCCACCGCCAGCACCAGCAACAGCAACAGCCAGCAACGTGGTGGTGGTGGTGGTGGTGGTGGTGGTGGTGGTGGTGGTGGTGGTGGTGGTGGTGGTGGTGGTGGTGGTGGTGGTGGTGGTGGTGGTGGTGGTGGTGGTGGTGGTGGTGGTGGTGGTGGTGGTGCCACCTCTTACTCTCTCGCCAACCAAAGGGAGCCACGAAAGCGTGGGGCCGTTGATGCTGATCCTGACATGCTGCAGTGCGATCTGAGCCGTCGGTCGGCCGGAGCTGCGCGCGACCATGCGGATGGCAGCGAAGGGGGGTTGGATGCACTGTGGCAGGGCCTAGTGAGCGATGCACCCTTGCACACACGCGGGGATGCACATGCACATGCACCTGATGCTGCTGCTGCTGAGGGGACTCGTGCAGAGGGTGCTGGAAGTCGAATGGCTGCTGCTGCTGCTGTTAAAATCCCCATGTGCAGAGCCCGTGGTATTGTTGATACAAGTGGTAGGGGTGAGAGAGGTGGTGGTGGTTATGAAGGTGCGAGTGACAGATGTGAAAGTGGAGATAGAGGCGGGAGAGATGGATGGGATGGGCTGGGTGGGTTGGTGAAGGGTGTATCTAATGCAAAGGGAGCAGCACAAAGGCCTTTGCGTAGAGGCGAGGTGCAAGGCAGAGCAACGCGAGAGAGGGAAGCTGGAGGGAGAGAGGATGGAGGGAGAGAGGATGGAGGGAGAGAAGTTGGAGGGAGGGGGAGTGTGAGAGACACTGATGGGAAGTACGGTCGAGGGAGAGAGGTGCAGCATCGTTGCGGAGCCGTGGAGAATGTTTCTGAGAAGCCTCAGAACGAGCGGAAAAGCGACTATACTATAGGGGCGGAACGTGGGGCAGTAGCTGCGCCTGAGACCCTAGGCACGAAGCGTGGTGGGGTTACCAGTGGTGTGAGTGCAGGGGCAGAACGCCCACGTGTGTGTGACTTGCCGGGTGACGCTCTATTGGAGAGAGGCTCGGTGGGGGATGGCAACGGCGGGGATAGGGTGGCAGGTGCGCCAGCTGCCGGGCAGAGGCAACGGCAGGGAATTGGTGGTGCTGGAAGTGGAAGTGAAGGGAACGACCAAGGCTGTGAAGGAAGGGGCCAAAGAGAGGTGGGCAGGAGAGGGGGTGGTGTGCGAGGTGGCGTTGTGAGCGGGGGTTCATTGAGAGCTGGTGGTGGTGTGAGAGGGGGTGGGGAGAGATGGAATGGGGAAATAAACAGTAGTGGGCATGATATGTTTATGCGGAGCGGGGAGGAGAGTGCAGTGCATGTGGCGCGCAGGCGTGGTGTGAGTGGGCGCGTGCAGAGCGGCGGGCTGTTGGAGATGTTTGGCGTGGCGGAGGTGGTGCCGTCGTCCAGTGCTGAGGCTTCTGAGGATGGGAGTAGTGGGGAGGACGGGGAGGAGGATGTGGTGGAGGTGGAGGAGGTGGGTGAGGAGGAGGAAGAGGAGCCGGAGGAAGAGAAAGGAGAGGAAGAGGAAGAGGAGGAGGAAGGGGAGGAGGAAGGGGAAGGGAAGGAGGTCAAAAGGGATGTGAGGGATGGAAATAGAGGAGATAAAAGGAAGGGGGCCATTGGAGAGGCGAATGGACGTGGGAGTGGTAAGGGAAGGGACGTGAAGGGAGGTTGCACGGACAAGGAGCGGGCCATGCAGGAGGAGGCACAGCGGGAATGGGGGAACTGGGAAGAGATGCGGCAACAGCAGCCCAAGCAGCAGCGCAAGCAGCAGCAGCAGCACTGCACTGCGTTTCTGCAAGCATGGGTTGCGCTGGCGCGCACGGCAGAACCTGCTGCCATCGATCAGAGTGTGCAGGAGTTCAGGGCGAGGAAACAGCAGCCCACTGTCCTCCCTGCTGCGCCCTCCGCATCCCTTTCCACTCCTGTGTCCTCTCCTGTGCCGTTTGTGCCTCCCGTGCCCCTCGCATCTTCCCCGCCTCCTGCTCCTCCCGCTCCTTCTTCTGTTGCTCCTGCTCCTGCTCCTGCTGCTTCTCCGGTTGCTCCTCCCGTTGCTCCTGCTGCTGGTATCCGTGCTGCTGCTGCTCCTCCTCCTCCTCCTCCTCCTCCTCCTCCTCCTCCTCCTCCTCCTCCTCCTCCTCCTCCTCCTCCTCCTCCTCCTCCTCCTCCTCCTCCTCCTCCTCCTCCTCCTCTGCCTCCTCCTGCTGTCGCCCCACGGGCTGCCACCCCTCCTCCTACGCAGCCAACGCAGAACCGCAGGAGGGCAGCGGCGCTGCTGGCAGCAGCACAGAGGAAGTGGCTGGCGGAGTGCCGGCAGCAGTTTGAGGCGTTTGTGTTCCCAGCCACGGGCACGGACAGCGTGACGGTGCGGTGGGAGGACGTGGAGCGATTGAAGCCAGAGGAATTTCTCAACGACACTCTTATCGACTTCTTCCTCAAGTGAGCATCTAGTTTGATTTTGAAGGTAGTTGTTTCTGTCGAATTCTAGTAAACTATCTTCAGGATGTGGAGCGACTGAAGCAAGAGGTGTTTTTCAAAGACACCCTCATTGACTTCTTTCTCAAGTGAGTGCCTCTCATGTTGACTTTCAAGATGACTCAAAGTTTGAGGCGTTTGTGTTTCCGGTGACGGGCACAGACAGCGTGAGTGTGCGGTGGGAGGATGTGTAGCGGCTGAAGCCAGATGAGTTTTTCAACGACACGCTCATTGACTTCTTCCTCAACTGAGTGGGTCGGTCAGATGGGACTTGAATGGTACTCGTTGTATGATAATGTGAGTGCCACTCTACGAGTACCATTCAAGTCCCATCTAACCGACCCACTCACTTGAGGAAGAAGTCAATGAGCGTGTCGTTAAGAAACTCATTCGACTACTTGATAATTCTTAAAAACAAAGTGGGGGAGATGGGGGGTGACTGTGACCAGATAAGATCCTCGAGAATTCTCTCGTTGACTGTTACCCGAGTGCATGAGACGAGACGAGATGGTATGGTGGGATATGAAAGAAGGGGCCGGCCGGGTCGGGCCGTTTTATGATTTCACAACCTTTTACCCTCCCTTGTGGCTGATCTCCACCCTTTCCCCCCCTTTCCCCCCCATTCCCCCCCAATCCCCCCATTCCCCCCCATTCCCCCCCATTCCCCCCCATTCCCCCTCTGCCTACCCTGCAGGCATCTGAAGGTGCAGGCCATGGAGCAGCGCCGCATTGCCTGCTCCCTTGCTGCTCCTGACCAGGCACTGCCGCAACCACCGCCGCCAACAGCAGCAGCGGCAGCAGCAGCAGCAGCATCAGCAGGTGCATCAGCAGCAGAGGCAGTGGTAGCAGCAGGTAAGGGGAGCAGCAGTGCCAATGGTGCGGGCGAGGGCGGGGATGGAAGCAAGGCGGCAGCAGTGGCAGTGCGAGACAAGCCCAGCAGCGCCACTGCAGCAGTCGACATGGCCGCTGCTGGCACCAAAGCAGGTGGTGAGAAGCAGGCAGGTGGGGCGAGGCAGGCAGGTGGGGCGAGGCAGGCAGGTGGGGCGAGGCAGGCAGGTGGGGCGAGGCAGGCAGGTGGGGCGAGGCAGGCAGGTGGGGCGAGGCAGGCAGGTGGGGCGAGGCAGCCGCCCCCCTCAGTGCATTTCTTCAACAGCTTTTTCTTCAAGATGCTCATTGGCGGGGAAAAGGACGACCCATTCCTTCCTCCCCCCCGTGCCTCTGCTGCTGCCGCCACCCGAGCCGCTGCTGATGCTGCTGCTGCAGCGGTGGAGGCAGCGAGGAGGGAGAGAGGGGGGGAGGAGGAGGGGAAGGCGGCGCACTGGCGGGTGCGCAAGTGGACCAAGGGGGTCAACCTCTTCGCCTGTGATTTCGTCCTCATCCCCGTCAACCTCAGGTGGGTTGTGCGTGCTTGCCTCGGATGGGCTTCTGAGCTCCCTGTTTTGCTCGTGTGTGGGGCCACAGCTGTACATTGTGACGCATTGATGCATCATGCATGTACGCATATGGCATGCATGTCGGTGTTCTCTTACCCTCGATGTATATTCGGGCATCTCATCACGCATGCCGGCCGTGAGGTGTCTCTACACTCCTCAACACCATGTTGCTTTTCAGCTGGCATGATTGTTATTGTCATGCCTAGCAAAGGCACGTGTTTACGTCCATGCCCCTCCTGTGTTCAACCCCGTCCACGTGTGCTAACTGGCAAGCCCGTCTGCACTTGACCATCTTGTCGGCCATACATGCATCTGTTCCGCACAGCACACCAAACCAAACCAAGCAGAACAAGATGCTCTTTTACGCTCAATCCATAAGTCTCAACGTTACCTTGCCTTTTGAGACGTCTCAAAAGTCTCAACGTTACCTTGCCCTGCATGCACTATCTTTCCCGCGCCATTCTCCGTTGCAGCTACCACTGGAGTCTGCTGGTCATCTGCCATCCTAACAAGATTCTTCCAGTCCCACCACCAAGACCAACAGCGGCAGAAGCAGCAGCAGCAGCGTCAGAGCCGAAATCACTGAGGCCTGAATTACAGCCTCAAGCATCAGCACCACCTGCGTTGTCCGTGGCACCAGCTGCTGTAGCAGGATCATCAGCAGCAGCAGGGGCAGCAGGAGCAGCGCAGCCACACCCCCCTCCATCGGCAATCCCCCAGCCAATACCCGCGTCACCATCGCATCGACCCTCGTCCCCACTTGAAGCTACCCCGCTAGAAGCGTCCCTGTTTGAAGATTCCCCTCTGCAAGAGTACATTTCCACACAGAGCCCCCCACACTCGCCGCAAGCCTCCCCTGCCTCTCCTCACCCTTGTAAAGCGTCTCACACCACGCTCTCACACACGACTCCACGCCACCCTCTCCCATCCGCCATCTCCCAATCGCCTCTCGCCCCTACCAGTTCCCACCCATCCCATCCTAGCCTCGATCCTCTCACTTCCACCAGTCCCTACCCTCCACTCACCAGCCCCTTCCCTCCTCCCCACGCCCCAGTATCGCCCAAACCTCCTCTTTCTCTGCAGCGTGCCTCTGTCGCCGCAGCTCCCTCATCCCCATCCCCTCCCTGTGGCCCTCCTCCCACTCCCCCCTCCCCCTCTCACCACCCTGCTGCATCCCCCGCGCATGAGGCAGCGCCATGCATTGTGCACTTGGACTCGCTGCCTGGGCTGCACCTGGACGTGGAGGAGGCCGTGCGCACGTGAGTCGGGCTGTATGGGGGGGGAGGGGGGGGGACATGGGTGTCGGGTGATGGAAGAGTTGTTGGTTGGGGTAAGGGTTGTGCAGAAGGGTCTGCTTTGCCTTACTGTCAAGGGTTTTTTCCCCCCTGCCCGGGATATATTCTTGCCCTGCCTGGACGAGCGTCAAGTGAGCGTCCACCTCAGTGACACCCTGGTGACAGGCTTCTGGCTGCATCGTCCGGACGCCAGCATCATGGACGCCTGACGCGTCAGCTGCAACATAGGCTGTGGGGGGGTTGCTGGGTGACACTGACAAGAGGGTTAAGCGTTCACGGAAGGGATTTGCAGTGGGCGAAGGGTTGTGCATCCAGGAGGATGTGGGTCGTGCAAAGATGTGGGACATGTAAGGGTTCAGGGGTGAAAAAAGGAAGAGGGGATGATGAAGGACAAGGGTTGGGGTGGTTACAGCTGTATGTGTACATGCCACTATGAGGATGTGGGGCGTTCAAGATAGGTAGGATTAGGGGCGAGCAAAGGAAGAGCGGATAACGAGGGACAGAGGTTGGTGTGGGTTAAAGTGGGTCCATTGCTGTGTGCTATGCTCTGAGAGGCACTGAGCGGAGGTGACTTGACACATTCCTCTCATTCACTGCAACCCTCACCATGCCACTCCACGCCATGCCACCCATATCCATCGCCCCTCACCAGGTACCTACAGGAGGAGTACCTCGTGCGCCACAAGGCGCCCCTCACGCCATCGCTCAGAAAGGCCTTCATCCGCCTGCCTGTGTTTCGTCCCAAGGTATTGCCAGAGAGACTTCTTCCACAATGTACCGTGTCCTTCCTACCTTGTCAATAAGCAGATACGAAGATCTAAAGAAGCAGCGCTACACTGGTAGAGGAGCAAAAAATCCGAAGTGCAGTGGGCTTCGGACTAATCGGTCGACTCGGAATTTTATCGTAACTCTAGTGTGTAGTGGTCCGGGTCTGGACCTTTTGTTACTTAATTGCCCCCTAGTCTTATCGAAGTGCTGAAGGTTCGACTCGAACCTTGATAGATCAACCCCAAACGGGTTCAAGTTCATATTTCACTCATGTCTATGAATTGATATGTGCGCGTTTTGCCTCTCCTGATCGCTGTCCCTTCCCATGCACAGGTCCCCCAACAGCCGAATCTGAGTGACTGCGGGGTTTTCCTGTTGCTCTACGCACAGGAGCTGCTTTCCCACATGCCGCTCACTGTCTGTCGCGCGCCTGCCTGCGATCAGTGCAAGCAAGTGGTGAGTGCGCACGGTGTGCTTTCTGCATAGAGTCACTTTACACTGGGAGTTGGGCTACGTGGGGAGACACGGGTGGTACGAGTGATCGTAGCGTTGCTTGTGTTCTCTAGCTTTTCTCCAGCACTTGCGTGTTCACAGGGCAAATTGGTAAGAGTTTCACTAAAAAAGTTGAGAACAATGATGCGAAAGGCAATGGCAACAATGACTACATCAGGGGCCTAACAATTTATGTCATGGACAGGTCGACCTCCAGCGCAGCACAGAGGCGGCCTGCCAACACTGCAAGTCGACACCGTGCCAGCACAGTTGGGAGGCGGCTTGCCAACGGTGCAAGTCGGCGACCTACCAGCGCTGCACCAAGGCGGCTTGCCAGGTGGCAATAACGCACATGCGCGAACCCACTTCGAAGGTGCGGATCGACGGTTAAGCACGTCATGCGCTGTCACAAACATTGCGCCGGTGCCAAGTCGGCCACGTGCCGACGTTGCGCCAGCTGTGTTGCGTCGACCTCGGGATACCAGCCTATAGGTCGACCTCGGGATACCAGCCTATAGGTCGACCTCGGGATACCAGCCTATAGGTCGACCTCGGGATACCAGCCTATAGGTCGACCTCGGGATACCAGCCTATAGGTCGACCTCGGGATACCAGCCTATAGGTCGACCTCGGGATACCAGCCTATAGGTCGACCTCGGGATACCAGCCTATAGGTCGACCTCGGGATACCAGCCTATAGGTCGACCTCGGGATACCAGCCTATAGGTCGACCTCGGGATACCAGCCTATAGGTCGACCTCGGGATACCAGCCTATAGGTCGACCTCGGGATACCAGCCTATAGGTCGACCTCGGGATACCAGCCTATAGGTCGACCTCGGGATACCAGCCTATAGGTCGACCTCGGGATACCAGCCTATAGGTCGACCTCGGGATACCAGCCTATAGGTCGACCTCGGGATACCAGCCTATAGGTCGACCTCGGGATACCAGCCTATAGGTCGACCTCGGGATACCAGCCTATAGGTCGACCTCGGGATACCAGCCTATAGGTCGACCTCGGGATACCAGCCTATAGGTCGACCTCGGGATACCAGCCTATAGGTCGACCTCGGGATACCAGCCTATAGGTCGACCTCGGGATACCAGCCTATAGGTCGACCTCGGGATACCAGCCTATAGGTCGACCTCGGGATACCAGCCTATAGGTCGACCTCGGGATACCAGCCTATAGGTCGACCTCGGGATACCAGCCTACAGGTCGACCTCGGGATACCAGCCTATAGGTCGACCTCGGGATACCAGCCTATAGGTCGACCTCGGGATACCAGCCTACAGGTCGACCTCGGGATACCAGCCTATAGGTCGACCTCGGGATACCAGCCTATAGGTCGACCTCGGGATACCAGCCTATAGGTCGACCTCGGGATACCAGCCCAGCCTATAGGTCGACCTCGGGATACCAGCCTATAGGTCGACCTCGGGATACCAGCCTATAGGTCGACCTCGGGATACCAGCCTATAGGTCGACCTCGGGATACCAGCCTATAGGTCGACCTCGGGATACCAGCCTATAGGTCGACCTCGGGATACCAGCCTATAGGTCGACCTCGGGATACCAGCCTATAGGTCGACCTCGGGATACCAGCCTATAGGTCGACCTCGGGATACCAGCCTATAGGTCGACCTCGGGATACCAGCCTATAGGTCGACCTCGGGATACCAGCCTATAGGTCGACCTCGGGATACCAGCCTATAGGTCGACCTCGGGATACCAGCCTATAGGTCGACCTCGGGATACCAGCCTATAGGTCGACCTCGGGATACCAGCCTATAGGTCGACCTCGGGATACCAGCCTATAGGTCGACCTCGGGATACCAGCCTATAGGTCGACCTCGGGATACCAGCCTATAGGTCGACCTCGGGATACCAGCCTATAGGTCGACCTCGGGATACCAGCCTATAGGTCGACCTCGGGATACCAGCCTATAGGTCGACCTCGGGATACCAGCCTATAGGTCGACCTCGGGATACCAGCCTATAGGTCGACCTCGGGATACCAGCCTATAGGTCGACCTCGGGATACCAGCCTATAGGTCGACCTCGGGATACCAGCCTATAGGTCGACCTCGGGATACCAGCCTATAGGTCGACCTCGGGATACCAGCCTATAGGTCGACCTCGGGATACCAGCCTATAGGTCGACCTCGGGATACCAGCCTATAGGTCGACCTCGGGATACCAGCCTATAGGTCGACCTCGGGATACCAGCCTATAGGTCGACCTCGGGATACCAGCCTATAGGTCGACCTCGGGATACCAGCCTATAGGTCGACCTCGGGATACCAGCCTATAGGTCGACCTCGGGATACCAGCCTATAGGTCGACCTCGGGATACCAGCCTATAGGTCGACCTCGGGATACCAGCCTATAGGTCGACCTCGGGATACCAGCCTATAGGTCGACCTCGGGATACCAGCCTATAGGTCGACCTCGGGATACCAGCCTATAGGTCGACCTCGGGATACCAGCCTATAGGTCGACCTCGGGATACCAGCCTATAGGTCGACCTCGGGATACCAGCCTATAGGTCGACCTCGGGATACCAGCCTATAGGTCGACCTCGGGATACCAGCCTATAGGTCGACCTCGGGATACCAGCCTATAGGTCGACCTCGGGATACCAGCCTATAGGTCGACCTCGGGATACCAGCCTATAGGTCGACCTCGGGATACCAGCCTATAGGTCGACCTCGGGATACCAGCCTATAGGTCGACCTCGGGATACCAGCCTATAGGTCGACCTCGGGATACCAGCCTATAGGTCGACCTCGGGATACCAGCCTATAGGTCGACCTCGGGATACCAGCCTATAGGTCGACCTCGGGATACCAGCCTATAGGTCGACCTCGGGATACCAGCCTATAGGTCGACCTCGGGATACCAGCCTATAGGTCGACCTCGGGATACCAGCCTATAGGTCGACCTCGGGATACCAGCCTATAGGTCGACCTCGGGATACCAGCCTATAGGTCGACCTCGGGATACCAGCCTATAGGTCGACCTCGGGATACCAGCCTATAGGTCGACCTCGGGATACCAGCCTATAGGTCGACCTCGGGATACCAGCCTATAGGTCGACCTCGGGATACCAGCCTATAGGTCGACCTCGGGATACCAGCCTATAGGTCGACCTCGGGATACCAGCCTATAGGTCGACCTCGGGATACCAGCCTATAGGTCGACCTCGGGATACCAGCCTATAGGTCGACCTCGGGATACCAGCCTATAGGTCGACCTCGGGATACCAGCCTATAGGTCGACCTCGGGATACCAGCCTATAGGTCGACCTCGGGATACCAGCCTATAGGTCGACCTCGGGATACCAGCCTATAGGTCGACCTCGGGATACCAGCCTATAGGTCGACCTCGGGATACCAGCCTATAGGTCGACCTCGGGATACCAGCCTATAGGTCGACCTCGGGATACCAGCCTATAGGTCGACCTCGGGATACCAGCCTATAGGTCGACCTCGGGATACCAGCCTATAGGTCGACCTCGGGATACCAGCCTATAGGTCGACCTCGGGATACCAGCCTATAGGTCGACCTCGGGATACCAGCCTATAGGTCGACCTCGGGATACCAGCCTATAGGTCGACCTCGGGATACCAGCCTATAGGTCGACCTCGGGATACCAGCCTATAGGTCGACCTCGGGATACCAGCCTATAGGTCGACCTCGGGATACCAGCCTATAGGTCGACCTCGGGATACCAGCCTATAGGTCGACCTCGGGATACCAGCCTATAGGTCGACCTCGGGATACCAGCCTATAGGTCGACCTCGGGATACCAGCCTATAGGTCGACCTCGGGATACCAGCCTATAGGTCGACCTCGGGATACCAGCCTATAGGTCGACCTCGGGATACCAGCCTATAGGTCGACCTCGGGATACCAGCCTATAGGTCGACCTCGGGATACCAGCCTATAGGTCGACCTCGGGATACCAGCCTATAGGTCGACCTCGGGATACCAGCCTATAGGTCGACCTCGGGATACCAGCCTATAGGTCGACCTCGGGATACCAGCCTATAGGTCGACCTCGGGATACCAGCCTATAGGTCGACCTCGGGATACCAGCCTATAGGTCGACCTCGGGATACCAGCCTATAGGTCGACCTCGGGATACCAGCCTATAGGTCGACCTCGGGATACCAGCCTATAGGTCGACCTCGGGATACCAGCCTATAGGTCGACCTCGGGATACCAGCCTATAGGTCGACCTCGGGATACCAGCCTATAGGTCGACCTCGGGATACCAGCCTATAGGTCGACCTCGGGATACCAGCCTATAGGTCGACCTCGGGATACCAGCCTATAGGTCGACCTCGGGATACCAGCCTATAGGTCGACCTCGGGATACCAGCCTATAGGTCGACCTCGGGATACCAGCCTATAGGTCGACCTCGGGATACCAGCCTATAGGTCGACCTCGGGATACCAGCCTATAGGTCGACCTCGGGATACCAGCCTATAGGTCGACCTCGGGATACCAGCCTATAGGTCGACCTCGGGATACCAGCCTATAGGTCGACCTCGGGATACCAGCCTATAGGTCGACCTCGGGATACCAGCCTATAGGTCGACCTCGGGATACCAGCCTATAGGTCGACCTCGGGATACCAGCCTATAGGTCGACCTCGGGATACCAGCCTATAGGTCGACCTCGGGATACCAGCCTATAGGTCGACCTCGGGATACCAGCCTATAGGTCGACCTCGGGATACCAGCCTATAGGTCGACCTCGGGATACCAGCCTATAGGTCGACCTCGGGATACCAGCCTATAGGTCGACCTCGGGATACCAGCCTATAGGTCGACCTCGGGATACCAGCCTATAGGTCGACCTCGGGATACCAGCCTATAGGTCGACCTCGGGATACCAGCCTATAGGTCGACCTCGGGATACCAGCCTATAGGTCGACCTCGGGATACCAGCCTATAGGTCGACCTCGGGATACCAGCCTATAGGTCGACCTCGGGATACCAGCCTATAGGTCGACCTCGGGATACCAGCCTATAGGTCGACCTCGGGATACCAGCCTATAGGTCGACCTCGGGATACCAGCCTATAGGTCGACCTCGGGATACCAGCCTATAGGTCGACCTCGGGATACCAGCCTATAGGTCGACCTCGGGATACCAGCCTATAGGTCGACCTCGGGATACCAGCCTATAGGTCGACCTCGGGATACCAGCCTATAGGTCGACCTCGGGATACCAGCCTATAGGTCGACCTCGGGATACCAGCCTATAGGTCGACCTCGGGATACCAGCCTATAGGTCGACCTCGGGATACCAGCCTATAGGTCGACCTCGGGATACCAGCCTATAGGTCGACCTCGGGATACCAGCCTATAGGTCGACCTCGGGATACCAGCCTATAGGTCGACCTCGGGATACCAGCCTATAGGTCGACCTCGGGATACCAGCCTATAGGTCGACCTCGGGATACCAGCCTATAGGTCGACCTCGGGATACCAGCCTATAGGTCGACCTCGGGATACCAGCCTATAGGTCGACCTCGGGATACCAGCCTATAGGTCGACCTCGGGATACCAGCCTATAGGTCGACCTCGGGATACCAGCCTATAGGTCGACCTCGCCAAAATGTCATGGGCGACGTCTGCGCACCCTCGCAGAGCTTCGTCGACCAGGTAACCTAGTTGACCAGGTAATGTCTCCAGCGTCCTCAGGTCGGCGCCCTCAGGTCGACGAACACCCTCGTCAACCGCCCAAGACGAATCACCTTATCGGCGGCTTCATAGTGGCTTCACCAAGTCTGTCGACTTCCTCTCCAAAGTCGGCGTTGACCACTGACAGCAGCCGACTGCACCTCCTACGCACCCAATTGCGAAGTCGGTTTCGCCCAAGCAAGGGTGGGGCCATTTCCTAGCAACAACAGTGTCTGCACCTTGTTGATGTGCTTGCAGACAATGAAAGAAGGAGTGTTTTGAGACGTCTCAAAACACACCTTGTTGATGTGCTTGCAGACAATGAGCTTTGAGAGCGCACATGTGTCACTTGCAAGTCGTGCCATTTTTTACCCGCAATTTCAAAATTCAATCTTTTTCAGTAGACGTATTACTCGCCTCGACTCGTGCAAGTAAAATCTTTGAAACTACCGACTCGTTACTCGCCCGAAACGAGTAACAAAAACAAGGCGAGTTTTTTACTTGTCTTGTTGCGCATGCCTAGGCTGAGCATCGCTGCTGCGGCTGCTGTTTCACGCTCCTCTCTTTGTTTCTCCGTTCTCTAGTCTCCGCCGTTCCTCTCCCTTACCCTCCCCCTCCCCTTCCTTCCTCCCAGCTGTCCTTCCCCTGGCTGACGCCTGACTCAGCCAAGCCCATGCGGGCCGCCATCCGCCGCACGGCGCTGCTGCGAGCCGGGCTGGGGGAGCTGGTGGCGCGGGAACCGCAACGAGAAGAGGTCGTGGTGGGGCGGGAGAAGCAGGGGGGGGGGAAGGAGGGGAGGGAGATGCAAAGGGATGGAAGGGAGGAGGAGGAGGAGGGGGAGAGGGAAGGAAGGGACAACGAGGGGAGGGGGCGTGGGGTGGGTCGAGTGGGAGGGATGGTAGGGCTGTTGGCGAAGGAGATCCGCAGTGTGGAGGGAGAAGGGGGGAGAGGGGAGGGTGCGGATGGGAGTGTGGCAGGACGGGCAGAGGGGCAGAAAAAGGGAACACACGATAAGGGCCAGGAGCAGCAGCAGGAGCAGAATAGGCGCGTGACTCGAAGTCGCAGCTTGCATGCCATCATGTCGAGCCAGGAAGGAAACCTGTCCGTCATTGCGGTGCCTGACAACGGAGGCCCTTTGAAGCAGAGCAGGGCTGGTGGGAAGAGGGAGAGGCTCGTGCAAACGGTGTTAGCGGAGGGCGGGAAGGAGGAGGAGAGGGAGGAGGGGGATGTGGTGGAGGTGACAGCGGCGGTGGGGAAGAGGGGCCGGGTGGGACCGGCGGGGAATGGCGGCAAGGGGTGGGCGGATGGGGGTGGGAAAGAAGAGAGGGATGGGCATAGCGGACATGTTTCTCGGAGCTGGTTGTCTGACTTGCTGGATGAGGTTGATATGGAGGAGGCTATGGCGGAGGCATTGGAGGAGGCATTGGAGGAGGGGAGAGGAGGGAAGGGAGGAGTGGAGGAAATAGGAGGGAAGGGAGGGGAGGAGGGAAAAGGAGGAACGGGAAGGGAAGAGGGAGAAGGAGGGAAAGGACGGGAGGTGGAGAAAGGAGGGAAGGGAGGGGAGGAGGAGAATAGGGGAAAGGGACGAATAGAGGCAAAAGGAGGGAAGGGAGAGGAGGAGGAGGAAGGAGGGAAGGGAGGGGAGCAGGAGAAAGGAAGAAAGGGAGGGGAGGAGGAGAAAGGAGGGAAGGGAGGGGAGAGGATGGTGAAACAGAAAGAAGAGAAGAATGAAGAGGGGATGGAGGAGAAGAGTCAGAGGAAGGCGGGGAGGACGGAAAAGGAGGCGGCGGTGGAAGAGAAAGGGAACTTGAGGAGTGAGGGGGAGGCAGGGAGGAGAGGCGACGGTCAGTGGGGGGAGGGAAGGAGGAAGGTGGAAGGGGTTCGAATGGGAGAGAAGATGGAGGAGGGGAAGGGGGGCAAACAGATGAGGTGTGTGAAGGAAGTGAGTAACACAGAGGTGGAGGAGGTGGGCAGTCTAGAGGAAAGAGGAGTGAAGGAACTGGGGAGGAGCGTACGAGATGTATGTGGAGAGGGGGAGGAAGTGAAGGAGGAGGGGCGTATGGAAGAGCTGGGGTTGAGGGCTGGCGAGCAGGAGCGGGTGCCAAGGGGACACAGCAGAGAGGAGGAGATGGGGGAGGAGGGAGGACAGCAAGTGACAGGCGAGGCGCAGGGAGAAAGCGGAAGATGTAAGGAGTTGTCTAAGGTTCGAGTTAATGCAGGGCATGAGGTGGCATGTGGGGAGCATGAGCTGGCATGTGAAGGGCATGAGCTGGCACGTTATGTGTTGATGAGTGATTCACCCGACGATGATGATGACGCTGCTGCTGCTCTTCCTCCTCCGCCTCCTCCTGTTGCCGCTGCTTCGGCTGCCACTGCTGCTGCTGACGATCACAATGGTGGTAATGGCTTTGCTGCTAGCAAGGCGTGTGGTGGCACCGGTGTTACTGCTTACAAGCGGCGTGGTGGGCTGGGGGGCGAACATGCTGCTGTAGCAAGGAAGCCTGGTGAGGGTGGGAAGGCATGTGGTGGTGGTGGTGTGGCTGCTACTGCTGCGGTTGCTAGTGACGATGGCAAAGGTGGTAACGGCGCTGCTGCTAGCAAGGCGTGTGGTGGCAGCAGTGTGATTGCTGCTAGCACCGGTGCTATTGCTTACAAGCGGCATGGTGGGCTGGGGGGCGAGCACGCTGCTGCTAGCAACGGTCGTGTTGCTGTAGCAAGGAAGCATGGTCGGGGTGGCAAGGCATGTGGCGGTGGTGTGGCTGCCACGAGTGCTGCTGAGGGCTCGCAGGTTGCTGCTACAGCTGCAGCCGCAGCAGCTGGTGTTAGGCATGCCTTTAGAGACGCAACGGTCGATGTGATTAGGCTTGTTGCCCCGGATGCACCCATGGATGCAATAAGACATGCTGCTATAGGTGCTGCTACAGGTGCTGCTACAGGTGCTGCTACAGGTGCTGCTACAGGTGCTGCTACAGGTGCTGCTACAGGTGCAGCCGCAGCAAAAGGAGCAAGTGGCAATGCCGAAGCAGTGACGAGAGAACGGATAAGAGAACAAAGGGGAGAAGGGACGAGAGAAGAGATGAGAGAAGAGAGGAAAGAAGAGAGGGGAGACGGAGCAGGAGAAGAGATGAGAGACGGGACGAGAGAAGGGGCAAGAGGTAGGAGAGAAGGAAAACGGTTGAAGATTGATCAAGGGGCAGATGAAGCAGGAAGGGAGGAAGAGGAACCCGAGGGAAAGAAGCAACGGGAAGAGGAAAGAGAACAGAGGGAAGAGGAGGAGGGTGTAGCAGGTGCAGTTTGCAACAGTGACTCGCTGCTAGGTGGAGCTGATAAGGACGATGGGGGAGAGGGAGGGGAAGAGGGTGATGGGGAAAGTAAGGGCGGGCAAGGGGGTGGAGGGGTGTGTGAGAGCAGTGAGGGCGGTAAGTGGGATGATGCGTCTGTGGTTTGCATCAGCGACTCTCCAGAGGAGCAGGCGGACGAGGAGGGGGGAGAGGGAGAGGAGGAGGGAGAGGAGGAGGAAGAGGAGGGAGAGGGGGAGCAAGAGGAGGGGAGGGGTCAAGAGGAGGAGGAGGACGAGGAGAAGGAGGGGGGGGAGTTGGAGGAGGAGGAGGAGGAGGACGAGGAGAAGGAGGGGGGGGAGTTGGAGGAGGAGGAGGAGGAGGAGGAGGAGGAGGAGGAGGAGGAGGAGGAGGAGGAGGAGGAGGAGGAGGAGGAGGAGGAGGAGGAGGAGGAGGAGGAGGAGGAGGAGGGGAAGGGGGCGAAGGCAAAGGGGATTGGTGGTAGGGATCAGCAGCATGCTGATTCGGGCACCGCTTCAGGTGCCGCTTCAGGTGCCGCCGCAGCCAAGGGAGCAAGTAGCAATGCTGAAGCTGCTGCTACCGTCAGACGGGGAGGTAGGAGAGAAGGGATGAGAGAAGGGATGAGAGAAGGGATGAGAGAAGGGAGGAGAGAAGGGAGGAGAGAAGGGATGAGAGAAGGGATGAGAGAAGGGATGAGAGAAGGGATGAGAGAAGGGATGAGAGAAGGGATGAGAGAAGGGACGAGAGAAGGGACAAGAGAAGGGACGAGAGAAGGGACAAGAGAAGGGACGACAGAAGGGGCGAGAGAAGGGACAAAAGAAGGGACGACAGAAGGGGCGAGAGAAGGGACAAAAGAAGGGACGAGAGAAAGAAGGAGAGAAGGGAAACGGTTGAAGATGAATCAGGAGGCAGATGAAGCCGGCAGGGCGGAAGAGGAACCCGAGGGAAAGAAGCAACGGGAAGAGGAGAGAGAACAGAGGGAAGAGGAGGGAGAAAAGAGGGAAGAGGAGGAGGGTATGGCAGGTGCAGCTTGCGGCACTGACTCACGGCTGGCACATAGTGCAGCTGATAAGGGCGATGGGGTGGAGGGGGGAGAGGGAGGGGAAGAGGGTGATGGGGAAAGTGAGGGCGGGCGAGGGGGTGGAGGGGTGTGTGGGAGCAGTGAGGGCGGTAAGTGGGATGATGCGTCTGTAGTTTGCATCAGTGACTCTCCTGAGGAGCAGGCGGAGGAGGAGTGGGAGGAGCAGGAGGAGGGGAAGGAGGAGGAGGAGCAGGAGGAAGAGGAGGAGCAGGAGGAGGGAAATGAGGAGGAGCAGGAGAAAGAGGGGAAGGAGCAGGAGGAGGAGGAAGAAGAGCAGGAGGAGAAGGCGGGGAAGGAGAAAGGGAAGGTGGTAGGGAAGGAGGAGGGGAAGGAGAAGGGGAGGGAGGAGCGGAGGGGGAAGCGGAAGGGGGTCGGTGGTAGGGACCGGCAGGGTGCGAGGGACATGTGGGGCGATCTGGACTTGCGCAGTGGCTTGGACTCTGCGACTGGGCTGCTGTCCTCACTGCAGAAAGGGGTTGCGAGCGCACCCACCCACACACCCACCCACACACCCACCCACACACCCACCCACACACAGAAGAGGGTAGAGGGGGCTGAAGATCGAGGGAGGCGCCAAGGGCCATTCGAAGCACCTGGGGCACCTGAAGCACCTGAAGCACCTGGGGCACCTGAAGTACCTGAAGCACCTGGGGCGCCAGGGGCAACTGAGCCAGCTAAGGTACCTAAGGGAGCTGAAGGGGTACCTAGGGCACGGGGGGAACCTAGGGGAACAAGATTCGTGAGGAAAAAGGGGCACGATGGGGAGGATGGGAAGGGCAGCAGAGAGGCAAGGCGTAAGGGAGGAAGGATTGAGGTTCCGAAGGGAGTGGGGCGGGCAGGAGGACGAGCAAGGAGGCGGGGTAGAATGCAGGAGGGCGATGAAGACGTGGAAATAGTTGGCATGGGTATGAGTGGGAGGATGGGTGGGCGCACTGCTGGGAAGGAGTTAGATGAGGATTGCGATGTGGTGGGCTGCAAGGGGAGGAGGGAGGATGGAGCGAGGGAGGGGACAGGTGCTGAGATTTTTTATGAGGAAGGGGAGGATGAGATGGAAGTGGAGGAAGTGGGAAAGGAGGTTAAGGGAATAACAGGGCAGGGGCAGGGATGGAAGGGTGGAGAGCGGGAGAGGGCGGATGCGGGGGCCATAGTGAGGGGGGTGGATGCAACAGAGAGGAAGGGGGCGCCGACTCGCTTGGCAGGGCAGCTTGGGAAGGGAGTGGGTTGCATGGGCGCAGGAGAGGGGGGGTGTGATGTGGGTGTGGTGGATGGGGTGAGTGGAACGAGTGTGGGGGAGGAATCGGAGGACGAGGAAGGTGAAGTGAGAGAGGGTGAGGAAGAGGAGGAGGTTAAAGAAGTGGTGTCAGAGAAAGGGGAGAGAGGGGAAAGTGCCCAAGAGGAGGTGGAAGAAGCAGAGGATGATGAGGAGCTGGGGGGACGGGATGAGTGGAGGGAAGAGGAGAGCGAGGAGGAGATGGGAGAGGAGAGAGAGGAGGGAGACGAGGGAGAAGAGCAAGAGGAGGGTGAGAAGGGAGAGGAGGGAGAGGAGCGAGAGGAGGGAGAGGAGGGAGGGCAAAGAAAGGAGGGAGAGAAGGGAGAGAAGAGAGGGATGAGAGGAATGAAAAGAGGGTGGGTGGAGGGTGGCAAGGAGAGCACGTGTGTGGTTCAGAGTGGGGCTTACAATGGGCAGGCGAAGCACAGGGAGGTGAGGGCGATGGAGCAGCGGAAATGCCACCATGCTGAACGGGCATCCGTGCAGCGCATGCAGGCAGGGGCACATGGGGCAAGGCAGACCGTGTGCCAAGGGGAGGAGGCGCAGGGAGGGGAGGAAGGACGGGGAGGAGAGGAGGGGCGGGGAGAAGGGGAGGAGGGGCGGGGAGAAGGGGAGGCGAAGGCAAGTGGAGATGTGGTGGAGGTGGCAAGCACACATGCGATTACCCTCAGCAGTAGTAGTGACGACAGTGATGGGCGCGCGGGGCGTGGGGAGCGTGAGGAGAGTGAGGAGGCAGTGGCGAGCCAAGAGAGCAGAGGAGAGCACGGCAGCAGCTGCAGCTCTGACTCCGAATCTTCGAGGGATGAACGGAGAGTGGGGGACGACAGGAGGTGTAGGGTGGTGGAAGGGAGGGAGGAAGAGGGTAGGAGCGGCAGGGAGGAAGGGAGGCATGTGACAAGTCCAAAGGAGAGGTGGAGACGTGAGAAGCAGGGCAAAGGCATGGCAGCGGGAGGTATTGCCAGGCGGAGAAAGGTGCAACAGCTACAGCAGCAGCAGTTGAGGGAGAGGGAGCTGAGGGAGATGCAGGGAAAGAGAAAGCGAGTGCGCTCACAGGGAGGGTCGCAGCTGCTCTTGTCACCTCGTGAATTTCAGTCCCCTTCGCTTGTATCCTTTGGCATGCAGTCGCTCTCCCTTCAATCACCTGCGCCTGTGCACGTGTCACACCCTGTACAGTCACATGTACCCAGTGATCACCCCTCTCACCCCCCTCACCCCTTGCACCCTCCTCTCTCTTCTCACCCCGCGCATCGCCCTCACCCCACTGCTGCTACGTCGGAGCCGCGGCGGTCGTCACGGGTGAGCAAGAGGGACGAGCAGAAGCAGCAGCGGCTGGCAGAGAGGCGGCGAGAAATGGGCGAGGATGTGAGGAAGCGGCTGGACGACCTGCTGGAGCGAGAGAGTGACAGAGAGTGAGTGAGAGTGAGAGAGAGTGAGAGACATTGGGAGAGTGGGAGAGAGAGATGGAGTTCTTTCATGACCTTACACGACCATAATAGAATTTTGCTGACAAGGCAACAGAACAGAGCCGGTCCTTTTGCTCACGCAGCATTACACAGGAGTATGCTTCCTACAACATGTGGTGGCACGGTGTGGTATGACAGTGACCGTAAATATGCTTGCAAGGCCAAGCTCCAGAAGTCAAGTCGTATTTCCTCGTTCTCTACGTAATGGGCTGCTCTGTGACGCATCAGACTCTCGAGTATGGAAATACCACTTCAGCTTCTCTTGGAATGTATACGCATGTTGCTTACACATATGCCGTATGGCACGTTACTAAGGGGGATGAGGACGAGCATTAGGATTGTGGCAGGCAAGTAGGAAGAGATCTGTTTTATAAAAAGGAAATGTTTCTAACAAGAGCTTCTTAGATTGCGAGTTTTTTTTTCCCCCATCTTCCTTATACCGGTAAATGGTCTCTTCATGCATACATCACAATCCTTAGATGCCCAGTGTATTGGATTTGGATACACTTGTTTCTGTTACAGATATGTTAACTCGCCAACTACCCAGTAGCGCGATCACGGTCAAGCGTTCCCCCCACCCAGTTCCTGCTGTCAAGGGTGCGATGACCAACGCCACCGCCTCCGAAACCTACTATAACGAACTGCAACAGAGTACAACGCTAATATACCGTGCAAAACCTCTCTTGAAGTCAGGGCTTTTCGAATTATTTTCCGCATTATGCTTCTCCCTCCATCCTAGTCCACCGCATAGTAGTCGCCGAATAGCCGAGTAGCATTGGGTAGTACCCGCAAGAAGAGGCTTCGTCCAATCATCATTGTCCGTTAATAAATCCGCCGTGGGGTCGTGCCCTCCCATTCTCGTCCCTCCTTGGTTAGCATCGTCGCCGCGCCAGCCGCATTCCCACTACATAAATCCCCTCTACCCAGCGTTCACCATGTCTCGCCGTTCCACACGAGCTTCCCTCATCCCTTTTCCCTCACTTATCCCTTCACTTTCCGACAGCGCAGCCTCACCTTCCTCTCGCCAACCACCCCGTCTCTCGTCGCCATGGCGCACGGCGGCCCGCGTTCCGCCCTTCAAGCTGGCCTCGCCGCGGTCCTTGCTGGCCTCGTGTCTCTCGCACTCGTCGCGGAAACTAGCGCCTCGACGCAGTACGACACGATTATAAAATTCCAGGGGAAGGCATTGACTGACTCCGCTCGCTTTTTTTTCTACAATAGTCCGTGCAAAAATGTCGCGTGGCGGTACGACACGTTGACCCCAATCAACGCGAGCATCCAGTGGGGCAACGTGGCGAACGTCAACCAGCTAAATCTCAAGTGCAGCAGCATCGCCTTCCACCCCGTCACGGACTGCAAGGGGGATTCTTACGTGACGTACCAGCGCCCTCAGCCCATCACCTCCAAGTCCTTCACCAACTGGTCAGCGCGCATGTGCCATGTGCCGCACAACGGTGAAACTTTTCTTTGCGGGCGTTTGCAAAGTTGAATCGGACGTGTAGACCTCTCCTACTTCCACGTGTCCCTACGTCTGATCCCTTCTCTGCCTCCCGTGCCCCCCTCGCTGCTGCTGCTCGCAGGACCCTCGCGACAGGCAAGGACTTGCCAGCGTCGATGAAATGCTGGACGGGTAAGATTGCACTCACTTGCACGGTATGACACGCTTGCCCATTATGGTGAGGGGGCAGTTCATACGTCTCGTCGACTGCACTACTCTGCACCGTGCTTCACAGCTGTGACATCCCACAGGTTGTCACATGGTGCGGTGCAGTGTGGTTTGGTGTGGTTTGGTGCAGTTTGGTGTGGTTTGTGGTGGTGTGAGACACCAATCCGTTGCTGTGCTCTTGCAAAGGTCTATTGGGTGCTCAATTGCACGCACACTATCGCCCTGTTTCAAATGACTGACTGCTTGGTTACTGTGAGGCCATGCTTCCTGCGAGCGAAACACACACCTCATTGCATCATTCTTCTCTCTCCTCCTCCCCATGTTTGTCCCGCCTCCTGCCACCACAAACGCCCTGTACTTGTGCTGAAGGCTGCGAGCGCTGCGGGACAGCGATGTGCGCGTTGGTGGACGGCAAGAAGGAGTGTGTGTGCCCCACGTCCCAAGTCTTTGACGCCACTGCAATGCAGTGCCGTGGTGAGTGGCGCTTCATCAGTGAGTGCGAGTGACACCGTGTGGGAGTAAAACACAAACATGAGTGCCCGAGACACGAGCCTCCTAGAGTGTGGATGCCGTGTTCGTTCCCTCGCATCCTCGTCACGTCTTTTCAAGTGTGTGTGCCCTGGCCGGTAACCTCAAGTCTAGAATGGGCAGCAAAATTTGTTCCTCCATAACCATCGTTCGCCTCTGGGTTCCCTCTGGCTTTCCCGGAGGGGGGCTTTGTGTCAGAGAGCGATGCCTTTCATGCGCTCTCATCCGCCCACCCAAGCTTGTTTCCCCTAGCACCTCGCTCCTCCCTGCCCTCTTGGCTGCACCACCCCACCCCACCCTCCTGTGTAAGCATGCTGTGTCTGTCCCTCATACACCACAACCTTCGTCCTTCGCACTCTGTTCCTTCCCTGCTCCATCTCTCTCTGTGCCGAGCCTCTTGCTGTGATCCCTCATCCTTGTCACCCACTTCCTTCTCACCCTGCAGGAATGTGTGGGGCACCACATGCAATGCAATGCAATGCAATGCAATGCAATGCCATGCAATGCCATGCAATGCCATGCAATGCCATGCAATGCCATGCAATGCCATGCAATGCCATGCAATGCCATGCAATGCCATGCAATGCCATGCAATGCCATGCAATGCCATGCAATGCAATGCCATGCAATGCCATGCAATGCAATGCCATGCAATGCCATGCAATGCAATGCCATGCAATGCCATGCAATGCCATGCAATGCCATGCAATGCCATGCAATGCCATGCAATGCCATGCAATGCCATGCAATGCCATGCAATGCAATGCCATGCAATGCCATGCAATGCAATGCCATGCAATGCCATGCAATGCAATGCCATGCAATGCCATGCAATGCAATGCCATGCAATGCCATGCAATGCCATGCAATGCCATGCAATGCCATGCAATGCCATGCAATGCCATGCAATGCCATGCAATGCAATGCCATGCAATGCCATGCAATGCAATGCAATGCAATGCAATGCAATGCAATGCAATGCAATGCAATGCAATGCCATGCAATGCCATGCAATGCCATGCAATGCCATGCAATGCCATGCAATGCCATGCAATGCCATGCAATGCAATGCCATGCAATGCCATGCAATGCAATGCCATGCAATGCCATGCAATGCCATGCAATGCCATGCAATGCCATGCAATGCCATGCCATGCAATGCAATGCCATGCAATGCCATGCAATGCCATGCAATGCAATGCCATGCAATGCCATGCAATGCCATGCAATGCCATGCAATGCCATGCAATGCCATGCAATGCCATGCAATGCCATGCAATGCCATGCAATGCCATGCAATGCAATGCCATGCAATGCCATGCAATGCCATGCAATGCCATGCAATGCCATGCAATGCCATGCAATGCCATGCAATGCCATGCAATGCAATGCCATGCAATGCCATGCAATGCCATGCAATGCAATGCCATGCAATGCCATGCAATGCAATGCCATGCAATGCCATGCAATGCCATGCAATGCCATGCAATGCCATGCAATGCAGTGCAATGCCATGCAATGCAATGCCATGCAATGCCATGCAATGCCATGCAATGCCATGCAATGCCATGCAATGCCATGCCATGCCATGCAGTGCCTCGTGTGTCTTTCTATCCTCTTCCTCCCCTCTTTCCTTCCGAGGTCAGCGCTTTGAGGTGCATCAGCCAAGGGGATGATGCGCTTTGAGGTGCATCACCCAAGGGGATGATGCGCTTTGAGGTGCATCAGCCAAGGGGATGATGCGTGCGGCGGGCGTAGCAGCACTCCATTCTCGGGCCCACCATGCTTAGCATCACGCCTTCCGGCACTGCTGCCTTTTCCACAGAACCAATGAGGAAACCAGCCAGCGTCACACACCCTTCGGTGGAAGGCTTTGTAACATACGTTATTATAGTAAAGCGATTAGTCAGTGTTTTTCAGTGAGCTGTACTTACTGTATGATTTGGTCTTAACTATCAAGTGAACCGTGCCGCCTTGTGTTCCACCATTCTGCAATATGCATGCAGTGGTATGGTACTATGTACCAGCAGCAGAAAAAGAGCCAGCTATTACCTGACTTTGGCGCGTCAATGCGAAGATTCCAACTCAAATGCAATGAGAAGGTTGGCATGGGTAGTGCCCAACCCACTGCTGTTAGATTATTTTGGCAAGCATGATGTAGGCATCATACCCCAGCAGTGCCCGTGCATGCGGGATGGGGGAACGGTGGAGGCAGGGGGTTGAGATTGAGGCTATTGGGAGAGTGTGGAGAGGAGAGCAGTGCAGCATGATGGAACACGACGATGAGTAGTGCTATTGTGTCGATACACAGCTTGGTGCCATTGTGTCGATACACAGCTTGGTGCCATTGTGTCGATACACAGCTTGGTGCCATTGTGTCGATACACAGCTTGGTGCCATTGTGTCGATACACAGCTTGGTGCCATTGTGTCGATACACAGCCGAAACCTTATCCCCCCTCTCCCCCCCTTGCCCCCGTGGTTGGCTACGGCAGTTGTGGCAGGCGGGTGGCCTCACAGCCGGGGCAGTTGTGCAGGCTCTCGTGGATGAAGACGTCGCAGTCGAAGCAGAAGTGCCGCGCACATGTGGGGCACTCCACCCGCACTCCCCCTCCCTCCGTCTCTGCCCACATCGGCACAGCATGCAGCCAGCAGGCAGCCAGCAGCAAGAAGAGGAACGGCAGGTGGAGGGGAACAGCAGTCAGAAGAGGAAATGGCAGCAACGTCGGGCAGACACAAGGTGAACGCCAGCCGGAATGCAGGGATGCTGTGGGGCTTGGAAAGGCACAGACTGACCCGCAACCACGGACCGTATTCCACCGCGCAGCACTGCCTGGCCTACCAGCGCGTTACCAGCGCATGCTCAGCGAGGAAAGGCAGTGCTCACCGATGAAAGGCAGTGCGGCAGTGCAGCTGAAGCAGGCGGGTGGCAGGTCGCTGTGCGGGGCGGCAGGGGCTGACGACCCAGCAGGTCGATTAGGAGCAGGCGGCAGAGGGATCTCGGAGAAGGGCGGCACGGGGAAGAGGTGGTGGTAGGAGCGGGCGAGGTGTGGCGAGGACACGAGTGTGAGCGCACACTCAGGGCACTCCGCTGGCAGCGCACACACCCGCGAGCTGGGGGGTGGCGGGAGAGGTTTGAGGGAGGGGAGGGGAGGAGGGAGGAGGAGAGGGGAGGGGGGGGGAAGGAAGGCAAGTGGCATGAGGTGGGCGAAATTGGGCCTTCGCTTGCAGCTGCAAAAGGGTGGGATGAACAACGGCAGGGGAAATGTGGGGTGGGGGGAAGGGGGAAGAGACAGAGGCACCTGGGGCACACATAGGTGGCGGCGAGGCGGAGGTGCATGTGGCAGGCGCACAGCGCTGCTGCTCCCTCGGGGGCGCGCTGGGGGAAGCCCATTCGCACGAGACTCGCTGCACTGCCCGCACTGCCTGCCTGCACCGGTGGAGGCGGAGCGTGGCTCAGCAGAGCTCCCTCAGATGAGCCTGGGGGGGAGCGGGAGGGAGGGGGGGGGGGGGGGGTCGGGGAGATGACGCAGGGAGAAGGGAACAAGGCGAGCGGCAAAGGATTGGTGACACAAAGAAAGGCAGGGAGGGCGGAGAAGGAAGGAGGAAGGTGAGGGGCATGATTCAGATGCACACGCAGCAGGTAGAATGTATGGTGAAACGTCCACAATGGAGGCGGATACAGTGGTACTGAAGCAAGCTCCTCATGAAGGAAGAGGTTCCCTTAAGAGTGGGTACCTGCTGGTGGGCACAATAACAAGAGCAGAAAAGGTAGAGGCTAGATGAGCAAGACTCCACCGATTCCCGGCCGAGTCTTGCTCGCCCCATTGGGCAAGTGGGCAAGAGTAGCGCCCCACAGGCCTCACGTCATCCCTGCCTCACGTCATCCCTGCCTCACGTCATCCCTGCCCCCAAGGTGCGCCGCACCCCACAGGCCCACGGGCCTCACGTCATCCATGGCAACGCTGTAGCGGCCGCCCGTCTGCTCGGCGATCTGGCGGCAGATGTGCACCTCGGCGCCGCCCACGCCAATGATGGAGCAGCGCAGGTGGGCGGCGCGCGCTCGGCGGATGGCGGGCAGGATGTCGCCGGGGTCGGTGGAGGCGAGCGCGGCGAAGAGCAGCAGCAGCTCGCGGTGGCCGTACGCCGGCACGTGCGCCACCGCCTCCACCACGTTCTGACAGGGGGGGAGGGGGGGAGGCGTGCGGGCGGGAGAGGCACGAAATGTGAAGTGGAGGTGATGACATGTACAGATGACTGGGTGCATCGTGAAACATGATGGAGATTGAACTCAAAGCATGGTGGCGCGTGAGCATGATTGTATGCGACAGTTAGGAGCGAAAACATCACGGGCAGGCACGATGGGTGGTCTCGTTTCGGGGTGGTACCTGCAGGGAGGCGCGGTGGTACCTGCAGGGAGGCGGGGCTCGAGGCGGAGAGGTTGGCGTGCAGCGTCTTGATGTGCGCGTCTGGCGGCGAGGTGAGCTCTGACAGCTGCGAGGCCACGCCGTCTCGCAGCAGCAGCAGGGCGAGGTGGCTGAGAGGGTTGCTGTCGAAGAAGTTGAGAACGAATGCCTCGCTGCTGCGCGCCATGGCTGCCATGCGCGATGGCTTCATGTCCACCTCACTCGCCGCCTGCCTGCCATGCAGGGAGGTGACGCGAGGTGCCGTGCCATGTCATTCCATCCATGCCAGAGCGCAATGGTGCGGGGCGGCACTTGGGTGTGAAGAACGAAGACAGTGAGAAGCCATGACATATGACAACACGAAAGCAAGGCCACCCATCCCATGGGCGGCATGCCATGGCTCCACTCCAGTGCAGTGCCACGGAACAAGGCTGCTCATCACGACCCACCATCACGACCCACCATCACGACCCACCATCACGACCCACCATCACGAGCCACCATCACGACCCACCATCACGAGCCACCATCACGAGCCACCCACCCGGGAGAAGTCGAGGGCGAGCACGAGGTAGCGGATGATGCCGCGCCTCACCCGCTGCGCCCCCACCCGCCCTGCCTGCCCTGCCTGCTGCCGCCGCCGCCTCTCCCTCTCGCTGCGCTGCTGCCCCACCACGTCCGCCGGGCGCAGCCGCCCACTCTCGTCCTCCTGCCCACGTAGAAGCACAGAATGGGGGAGGGGAAAGGGGGAAAGGGGGGGAGAGGGCAGTGAGTGCAAAAGCAGTGAGTGCAAAAGCAGTGAGTGCTAAGGCAGTGAGTGCAAGGGCAGTGAGCGCAAGGTCAGTGAGCGCAAGGGCAGTGAGTGCAAGGGCAGTGAGTGCAAGGGCAGTGAGTGCAAGGTCAGTGAGTGCAAGGTCAGTGAGTGCAAGGTCAGTGAGTGCAAGGTCAGTGAGCGCAAGGGCAGTGAGTGCAAGGGCAGTGAGTGCAAGGGCAGTGAGTGCAAGAGCAGTGAGTGCAAGGTCAGTGAGTGCAAGGTCAGTGAGCGCAAGGGCAGTGAGTGCAAGGTCAGTGAGCGCAAGGGCAGTGAGTGCAAGGGCAGTGAGTACAAGGGCAGTGAGTGCAAGGTCAGTGAGTGCAAGGTCAGTGAGTGCAAGGTCAGTGAGTGCAAGGTCAGTGAGTGCAAGGTCAGTGAGCGCAAGGGCAGTGAGTGCAAGGGCAGTGAGTGCAAGGGCAGTGAGTACAAGGGCAGTGAGTGCAAGGGCAGTGAGTGCAAGGTCAGTGAGTGCAAGGTCAGTGAGTGCAAGGTCAGTGAGTGCAAGGTCAGTGAGCGCAAGGGCAGTGAGTGCAAGGGCAGTGAGTGCAAGGGCAGTGAGTGCAAGGTCAGTGAGTGCAAGGTCAGTGAGTGCAAGGTCAGTGAGTGCAAGGTCAGTGAGTGCAAGGTCAGTGAGTGCAAGGTCAGTGAGTGCAAGGGCAGTGAGTGCAAGGGCAGTGAGTGCAAGGTCAGTGAGTGCAAGGTCAGTGAGCGCAAGGGCAGTGAGTGCAAGGGCAGTGAGTGCAAGGGCAGTGAGTGCAAGGTCAGTGAGTGCAAGGTCAGTGAGTGCAAGGTCAGTGAGTGCAAGGTCAGTGAGTGCAAGGTCAGTGAGTGCAAGGGCAGTGAGTGCAAGGTCAGTGAGTGCAAGGTCAGTGAGTGCAAGGTCAGTGAGTGCAAGGTCAGTGAGTGCAAGGTCAGTGAGTGCAAGGTCAGTGAGCGCAAGGGCAGTGAGTGCAAGGGCAGTGAGTGCAAGGGCAGTGAGTGCAAGGGCAGTGAGTGCAAGGTCAGTGAGTGCAAGGTCAGTGAGCGCAAGGGCAGTGAGTGCAAGGTCAGTGAGCGCAAGGGCAGTGAGTGCAAGGGCAGTGAGTACAAGGGCAGTGAGTGCAAGGGCAGTGAGTGCAAGGTCAGTGAGTGCAAGGTCAGTGAGTGCAAGGTCAGTGAGTGCAAGGTCAGTGAGTGCAAGGTCAGTGAGTGCAAGGTCAGTGAGTGCAAGGTCAGTGAGTGCAAGGTCAGTGAGTGCAAGGTCAGTGAGTGCAAGGGGGCAGTGAGTGCAAGGGCAGTGAGTGCAAGGGCAGTGAGTGCAAGGTCAGTGAGTGCAAGGTCAGTGAGTGCAAGGTCAGTGAGTGCAAGGTCAGTGAGTGCAAGGTCAGTGAGTGCAAGGTCAGTGAGTGCAAGGTCAGTGAGTGCAAGGTCAGTGAGTGCAAGGTCAGTGAGTGCAAGGTCAGTGAGTGCAAGGTCAGTGAGTGCAAGGTCAGTGAGTGCAAGGTCAGTGAGTGCAAGGTCAGTGAGTGCAAGGTCAGTGAGTGCAAGGTCAGTGAGTGCAAGGTCAGTGAGTGCAAGGTCAGTGAGTGCAAGGTCAGTGAGTGCAAGGTCAGTGAGTGCAAGGTCAGTGAGTGCAAGGTCAGTGAGTGCAAGGTCAGTGAGTGCAAGGTCAGTGAGTGCAAGGTTCAGTGAGTGCAAGGTCAGTGAGTGCAAGGTCAGTGAGTGCAAGGTCAGTGAGTGCAAGGTCAGTGAGTGCAAGGTCAGTGAGTGCAAGGTCAGTGAGTGCAAGGTCAGTGAGTGCTAGGTCAGTGAGTGCAAGGTCAGTGAGTGCAAGGTCAGTGAGTGCAAGGTCAGTGAGTGGCAAGGTCAGTGAGTGCAAGGTCAGTGAGTGCAAGGTCAGTGAGTGCAAGGTCAGTGAGTGCAAGGTCAGTGAGTGCAAGGTCAGTGAGTGCAAGGGCAGTGAGTGCAAGGGTCAGTGAGTGCAAGGGCAGTGAGTGCAAGGGCCAAGGGCAGTGAGTGCAAGGTCAGTGAGTGCAAGGTCAGTGAGCGCAAGGCAGTGAGTGCAAGGTCAGTGAGCGCAAGGGCAGTGAGTGCAAGGCAGTGAGTACAAGGCAAGGGCAGTGAGTGCAAGGGCAGTGAGTGCAAGGTCAGTGAGTGCAAGGTCAGTGAGTGCAAGGTCAGTGAGTGCAAGGTCAGTGAGTGCAAGGTCAGTGAGTGCAAGGTCAGTGAGTGCAAGGTCAGTGAGTGCAAGGTCAGTGAGTGCAAGGTCAGTGAGTGCAAGGGCAGTGAGTGCAAGGGCAGTGAGTGCAAGGGCAGTGAGTGCAAGGGCAGTGAGTGCAAGGTCAGTGAGTGCAAGGTCAGTGAGTGCAAGGTCAGTGAGTGCAAGGTCAGTGAGTGCAAGGTCAGTGAGTGCAAGGTCAGTGAGTGCAAGGTCAGTGAGTGCAAGGTCAGTGAGTGCAAGGTCAGTGAGTGCAAGGTCAGTGAGTGCAAGGTCAGTGAGTGCAAGGTCAGTGAGTGCAAGGTCAGTGAGTGCAAGGTCAGTGAGTGCAAGGTCAGTGAGTGCAAGGTCAGTGAGTGCAAGGTCAGTGAGTGCAAGGTCAGTGAGTGCAAGGTCAGTGAGTGCAAGGTCAGTGAGTGCAAGGTCAGTGAGTGCAAGGTCAGTGAGTGCAAGGTCAGTGAGTGCAAGGTCAGTGAGTGCAAGGTCAGTGAGTGCAAGGTCAGTGAGTGCAAGGTCAGTGAGTGCAAGGTCAGTGAGTGCAAGGTCAGTGAGTGCAAGGTCAGTGAGTGCAAGGTCAGTGAGTGCAAGGTCAGTGAGTGCAAGGTCAGTGAGTGCAAGGTCAGTGAGTGCAAGGTCAGTGAGTGCAAGGTCAGTGAGTGCAAGGTCAGTGAGTGCAAGGTCAGTGAGTGCAAGGTCAGTGAGTGCAAGGTCAGTGAGTGCAAGGTCAGTGAGTGCAAGGTCAGTGAGTGCAAGGGCAGTGAGTGCAAGGGCAGTGAGTGCAAGGGCAGTGAGTGCAAGGTCAGTGAGTGCAAGGTCAGTGAGCGCAAGGGCAGTGAGTGCAAGGTCAGTGAGCGCAAGGGCAGTGAGTGCAAGGGCAGTGAGTCCAAGGGCAGTGAGTGCAAGGGCAGTGAGTGCAAGGTCAGTGAGTGCAAGGTCAGTGAGTGCAAGGTCAGTGAGTGCAAGGTCAGTGAGTGCAAGGTCAGTGAGTGCAAGGTCAGTGAGTGCAAGGTCAGTGAGTGCAAGGTCAGTGAGTGCAAGGTCAGTGAGTGCAAGGGCAGTGAGTGCAAGGGCAGTGAGTGCAAGGGCAGTGAGTGCAAGGGCAGTGAGTGCAAGGTCAGTGAGTGCAAGGTCAGTGAGTGCAAGGTCAGTGAGTGCAAGGTCAGTGAGTGCAAGGTCAGTGAGTGCAAGGTCAGTGAGTGCAAGGTCAGTGAGTGCAAGGTCAGTGAGTGCAAGGTCAGTGAGTGCAAGGTCAGTGAGTGCAAGGTCAGTGAGTGCAAGGTCAGTGAGTGCAAGGTCAGTGAGTGCAAGGTCAGTGAGTGCAAGGTCAGTGAGTGCAAGGTCAGTGAGTGCAAGGTCAGTGAGTGCAAGGTCAGTGAGTGCAAGGTCAGTGAGTGCAAGGTCCAGTGAGTGCAAGGTCAGTGAGTGCAAGGGTCAGCTGAGTGCAAGGTCAGTGAGTGCAAGGTCAGTGAGTGCAAGGTCAGTGAGTGCAGGTCAGTGAGTGCAAGGTCAGTGAGTGCAAGGTCAGTGAGTGCAAGGTCAGTGAGTGCAAGGTCAGTGAGTGCAAGGTCAGTGAGTGCAAGGTCAGTGAGTGCAAGGTCAGTGAGTGCAAGGTCAGTGAGTGCAAGGTCAGTGAGTGCAAGGTCAGTGAGTGCAAGGTCAGTGAGTGCAAGGTCAGTGAGTGCACGGTCAGTGAAGTGCAAGGTCAGTGAGTGCAAGGTCATGAGTGCAAGGTCAGTGAGTGCAAGGTCAGTGAGTGCAAGGTCAGTGAGTGCAAGGTCAGTGAGTGCAAGGTCAGTGAGTGCAAGGTCAGTGAGTGCAAGGTCAGTGAGTGCAAGGTCAGTGAGTGCAAGGTCAGTGAGTGCAAGGTCAGTGAGTGCAAGGTCAGTGAGTGCAAGGTCAGTGAGTGCAAGGTCAGTGAGTGCAAGGTCAGTGAGTGCAAAGGTCAGTGAGTGCAAGGTCAGTGAGTGCAAGGTCAGTGAGTGCAAAGGTCAGTGAGTGCAAGGTCAGTGAGTGCAAGGTCATGAGTGCAAGGTCAGTGAGTGCAAGGTCAGTGAGTGCAAGGTCAGGAGTGCAAGGTCAGTGGTGCAAGGTCAGTGAGTGCAAGGTCAGTGAGTGGCCAAGGTCAGTGAGTGCAAGGGTCAGTGAGTGGCAAGGTCAGTGAGTGCAAAGGTCAGTGAGTGCAAGGTCAAGTGAGTGCAAGGTCAGTGAGTGCAAGGTCAGTGAGTGCAAGGTCAGTGAGTGCAAGGTCAGTGAGTGCAAGGTCAGTGAGTGCAAGTCAGTGAGTGCAAGGTCAGTGAGTGCAAGGTCAGTGAGTGCAAGGTCAGTGAGTGCAAGGTCAGTGAGTGCAAGGTCAGTGAGTGCAAGGTCAGTGAGTGCAAGGGTTCAGTGAGTGCAAGGTCAGTGAGTGCAAGGTCAGTGAGTGCAAGGTCAGTGAGTGCAAGGTCAGTGAGTGCAAGGTCAGGAGTGCAAGGTCAGTGAGTGCAAGGCAGTGAGTGCAAGGTGAGTGCAAGGTCAGTGAGTGCAAGGTCAGTGAGTGCAAGGTCAGTGAGTGCAAGGTCAGTGAGTGCAAGGTCAGTGAGTGCAAGGTCAGTGAGTGCAAGGTCAGTGAGTGCAAGGTCAGTGAGTGCAAGGTCAGTGAGTGCAAGGTCAGTGAGTGCAAGGTCAGTGAGTGCAAGGTCAGTGAGTGCAAGGTCAGTGAGTGCAAGGTCAGTGAGTGCAAGGTCAGTGAGTGCAAGGTCAGTGAGTGCAAGGTCAGTGAGTGCAAGGTCAGTGAGTGCAAGGTCAGTGAGTGCAAGGTCAGTGAGTGCAAGGTCAGTGAGTGCAAGGTCAGTGAGTGCAAGGTCAGTGAGTGCAAGGTCAGTGAGTGCAAGGTCAGTGAGTGCAAGGTCAGTGAGTGCAAGGTCAGTGACTCCCACAAGCAGCAGTGACCTGCACGGACTCCCAGGAGCGGTCGTTGGCGTAGGAGCGCTCCCACGCCTCCTGCTCGCGCCATGGCGTCCTCCGCCGCCACCTCCTCCTCCCTCCTCCTCCACGTTGCACGCCATGTCCACCCGCCGCGCCTCCCCTCGCTTCATCGCACCTGCAGCAAACTTGCATCGGACAACAGTAAGGGGTGAATACGGGCGTGCGTACAATGCAGATTTGGGATACTTGAGGGTTGGATTCCGCGATTGCCCTTCTTGACCAATGATGATCGGGGAAGGGAAGGGAAGGGCAAGATGAGAAGGGGGCAGCGGGAAGAGAAGGGCAGGACGGCGGGAAGAGAAGGAAAGGGGGGGAAGGGAAGGGCAGGAAGAGAAACAAAAGGCGGGAAGGGAAGGGCATGAAGGGAAGAGAGGAAGGGCATGAAGGGAAGAGAGGAAGGGCATGAAGGGAAGAGAGGAAGGGCATGGATGGAGGGGCATAGAGTGGACTGACTCACCCTGTAAGAGGAGCCTCGATTCTATTCGTGCGCCTCTCTATGCAGGCGCCTCTCTATGCAGGCGCCTCTCTATGCAGGCGCCTCTCTATGCAGGCGCCTCTCTATGCAGGCGCCTCTCTATGCAGGCGCCTCTCTATGCAGGCGCCTCTCTATGCAGGCGCCTCTCTATGCAGGCGCCTCTCTATGCAGGCGCCTCTCTATGCAGGCGCCTCTCTATGCAGGCGCCTCTCTATGCAGGCGCCTCTCTATGCAGGCGCCTCTCTATGCAGGCGCCTCTCTATGCAGGCGCCTCTCTATGCAGGCGCCTCTCTATGCAGGCGCCTCTCCCGTACTCGCACTGGCTATAAGGACACGACACTGGGGGTGGGGGAGAGATGTGCACAGAATGGGCGGGAAAGGAGGGGAGGGGAGGGGAGGGGAGGGGAGGGGAGGGGAGGGGAGGGGAGGGAGGGGAGGGGAGGGGCGGGGAGTTGAGGGGAGGCGAGGGAAGGGGAGGGAAGGGGAGGGGAGGGAAGGGGAGGGGAGGGGAGGGGAGAGGAGGGGAGGGGCGGGGAGGGGAGGGGAGGGGAGGGGCAGGGAGGGGAGAGGAGGCGAGGGAAAGGGAGGGGAGGGGAGGGAAGGGGAGGGGAGGGGAGGGGGGAGGGGAGGGGAGGGGAGGGGAGGGAAGGGGAGGGAAGGGGAGGGAAGGGGAGGGAAGGGGAGGGAAGGGGAGGGGAGCGGAGGGAAGGGCAAGGAATGGGAGGAAATGGGAGGGAAGGGGAAGGAATGGGAGGGAAAGGGAGGGAAAGGGGAACGAATGGGAGGGAAAGGGAGGGAAAGGGGAACGAATGGGAGGGAAAGGGAGGGAAAGGGGAACGAATGGGAGGGAAAGGGAGGGAAAGGGGAACGAATGGGAGGGAAAGGGAGGGAAAGGGGAAGGAATGGGAGGGAAAGGGGAAGGAATGGGAGGGAAAGGGGAAGGAATGGAAAGTCACCATGGCAACTCGTGCGGCCGGCGCCGCTATTGCGTTCGCGAGCGTGTGAGAGCGTGCGGGGCGAATGTGAGCGCACGGGAGAGGCGAGAGTGATAGGGTAGGGTGGGTGTGTGCGAGAGGCGCGTTCGTGGTGATGAGCGGCGGGCACGCGACACACCCACCCGATGAGACGCGCCTTTGTCGCTCGTGCAAAAGGGACGTCGAACGCTTGCGAGATGGCGTGAGGCCGCAATGGGTGGCGAGACGGGAGTGAGAGGTGGCGATTTGCTAAAGAAAGCGAGCGGTCAAGGATGTTTTAAGGACAAACGAATGTGAGACAGTTGTGCACGAAGGCATGAGTACCAGAGAGGCGACGGGGAGAGGGCGGGCGAAGCGTTGGTGCATGCGCATAATCACTGTACGTCTGAGAATAAAAAGGTAGTTATTCGCGCCGCTTGCTGAGTTGCGACGTGCTTCTCTACGGAACATGCCGTGAGTGGCGCGTCGGGTGATGTATTTTCTCACGAATGACGTGTTTGAAGTAATCGAAAATGGTCCTGTTCGCGAGCAGCGTCGGAATGGCCGTGGAATCAGGAAACGGGGGCCGTGGAATAGGTTTGGGGGGTAAGGGCGCGTCTCCTCACTCGATCGATCCTGCCCTCGATCGATCTGAGGGACAGCTACAATGTCGCAATAGACAGGGTAACCACATTTCGAGAAGGCTAACAAGAGCACAGTAATTGGGGCCCAACGATCTTGTCACCTCCGCTGATGACGGTCGATATGCCTTTGTGGCCACACCGATCCCGGCTTTTGTAGGATCGAGAGTTTTTCCCCCTTCAATTCTCGATCCTGACACCCTGGGCGCGAGATCGATCTGCAACCGTCACCTCCTACCAAACCCGCCCCAATCCTGCGATCGGTGTGCCCGATCTGTTTTTTCTCGTCATATCGGAATCGATCGAGGGAGGAGACGCGCCCTAACACAGATACAAATGCGGGTGTGACATCCTTGGATGGTTGATCTATATTGCTCAGCATCAGGCCGAATTCGGCTATTCACGACTGTCAGCCATGCCTGCCTTGGCAGCGTCGCTTCGCGTCCATTTCTCATCTCTCGCCGCGCTGCCGCGGAAATCTCTTCTCCGACCATTTAGGCCGCTCCTGACGCCCGCTCGCGGCCAGGCTGCTCGTGGCGGCACCCGTGACCTCATAGCACCCCGCCGTAGTCGCCATGGCGGCCGAGCCGCGAAGAACCCATTCATCCGCGAGTATAGACTCCTCGTTAGATGACGAAACCCTGATTGAACTCTTGCCATCGTGGGCGCGTCGCACACTCTGTCCGGCCGGTAGTGGTTGCGGCGACGGCGAGTGCGAGCTGCTCCACGTGGACCCCACGTGGCGAGATGTGCTGTCGAGCCGACACGTGGCGCGTCGGGAGCAGAACAGTGGCGTCAGTGCGTGGGGAAGGCCTCGGCTGATCGTGTGCGCGGGACCAGAGAGGTCGGGTGCGGCACCTTCCACCCACTGAATCATGCATTGTTAATCGCGCCGCGGTGCTGACAGCCTGATCGAAGCTGTTCTCTTTCCGAGCTTCCAAGCCCTAACTCGTACCGCATACTTCCTTCCACGTCCTTTCATTTGCCTCGCACCCGCATGCTCCGCTCTTCCCGCGACTGCCATCCACTCCACACATCACAACCTCACTCCCCCCCCACTCTTCCCCCCACGCACCGTCCATCCGCCCTCACGTCAGATCTGCCGGCCTAGTCACGTGTTGTCACGGAAGGCTTCACTCGCAGTATTCCCGCGCCAACTTCTCTTCACATCCCCTTTCTCATCCCCCCTCCTCTGCAGGCTCCACGTGGCTCTTCAACGCCGTCCGCCTGCTGCTCCCTGGCCGTTCCTCGTCCTCACTGCACATGCCTTCCCCGTCTCCCCAAGCTTCACTTCCCCCCCACCCCCCTCTTCCGCCCAGCCCCTCCTCCCACTTCCCCCTTCTCCCCAACCCCCTTCCCATTTCCTCCCTTCCAAAATCCCTCCGTCGCCTGGCTGGCCGACTGCAGGCTGCACGTCCCTCCTTCACTGCACGTATCTCCTTCACTGCACGTATCTCCTTCACTGCACGTCCCTCCTTCACTGCACGTCCCTCCTTCACTGCACGTATCTCCTTCACTGCACGTCCCTCCTTCACTGCACGTATCTCCTTCACTGCACGTCCCTCCTTCACTGCACGTCCCACGGGCTTCCCCGCCTGCACCCAGCCTCACATGCCCTCCCTTCCCTCTCCCCAATCCCCCTCACATCGTCTCCCTCCCTGCCTCCCTGCAGGCTCCACGTGGCTCTTCAACGCCGTCCGCCTGCTGCTCGCCCACTCGGGCCAGCTGTCGCTCTCCTATTGGCTGTACTCCATCTCCGCCAGCAAGCTGCGCGCCAGGGGGCTCTCGCCACTGGGCAGCCGCGGACCTGGGGGTGCGGGGGGAGTGGATGGGGGGCTTTCGCCATTGGGCAGGCCCGAACCTGGGGGGGAGGGGAGAGGGGGAGTGGGGATAGGGGGAGAAGGACGGGGGTCCGCGGAGGATTTAGGGGGAAGAGGGGATGGTCAAGGGGTGGGGAGGGATGGAGGGGAGTGGGGAGGAGTGAGCGTGGTGGTGAAGACACACGAGTGGGTGGAGGGGTGGGAGGTGGGAGAGTGGAGTGGGGTGGTGCTGCTGACTGAGAGGGACGTGTGTGGCGTCGCTGACTCCTACCTCCGCGTCGGCTGGTTACCGCACAGCATGCCGTGAGTCGCTTGGATTACCACACAGCATGCCCTCTTCCTTGTCTTCCAAGACTGTCCTCATTGCACCCGCTGTCACGCTTCTACTGCCACGCGACGCCTATCCCTCCTGATCAGCCAACTCTCTTTGGAAACCTTCCTTGGCTCTCACACCCCCGGTGCATCTCCCCGCCGCATCCTCTTTCAAACGTGCACCTGCAGTCCAGCGCTACAGCAGTGCGACCCTCTCCCACCCTCCCCTCTCTCTTTTCCTCAACCTACTGTCTCTCCTGCACTCCTGCAGTCCCATCAGGGCCACCCGTCCCACCACCTTCACTGGAAGGAGAGCGCATTTCTCCTCTCCCCTCTCATTCACCGTCCCCGTTCCCTTCATCTAAACCTTCCTTTCCCTCTCTGCGCCCGCATGCAGGTGCATCAAGGCCTATTTTCAATCCTACCTGCGTGACCACTGTTGGCACATTGAGCATTCTCCTCGTTTCTCTCTTGTTGTCAACATTGCCCACTCCCCTTTTCCAACCCTGCATCCGCTGCGCGCCTGCAGGCAGTCGCATAAGGCATTTCTCCTCTCCCCTGGACCTCAACTTTCCTTCCCCTCTGCACGCGTGCATGCAGGCGCATCAAGGCGCACATGCAGGCCTACCTGTGCGCTGCTGCCGTCATTCCCCTCGCCCTTCGCCTTGTACCACTCCCCTGTCACGTGGATGCAGGCGCATCAAAGCCCACATGCAGGCCTACCTGCGCGACCATCATCGCTGAAAGCAGCACGCTGCTGCCGTGATCTCGTTTGCCCCCACACCACTCACCCTACTTTCTCCCCCATGCGCTCCTGCATGCAGGCACATCAAGGCGCACATGCAATCCTACCTGCGCGACCACCAGCGCTGGAAGCAGCACGCTGCGGCCGTCATCCCCTTCGCCTCCATCGTGCCGCCCGGCAGCCCCTCGGAGCTGCTCTGCCTCTCCCACCTCGCTGCACTCCTGGGGCTCACCACCGTGGGAGGAGCGGCACAAGGGCCGGCACAAGGGGTGGCACAAGGGGCGGCACAAGGGGCGGCACAAGGGGCGGCACAAGGAGCGGCACAAGGGGCGGCACAAGGGGCGGCACAAGGGGCGGCACAAGGGGCGGCACAAGGGGCGGCACAAGGGGCGGCACAAGGGGCGGCACAAGGGGCGGCACAAGGGGTGGCACAAGGGGCGGCACAAGGGGCGGCACAAGGGGTGGCACAAGGGGCGCGGAAGGTTCTGGGCTAGATGCAGTGAGAGGGGAAGGAGGGCTGGTGCAGTGGACATGCGTGCTGCGTCAAAAGCCCTTGCTCAGCTGCCTGTCCCCACAGGTTCGACCTAAAGGAATGTGGGGGAGGGATGGGCAGTGGAAGTGTCTGAGCTTGGTTGGTGCGAGTCCGAGCAGTGTGGAGACAGGGAGGGTTGGTGGGAGGGCAGTGGACGTGCATGCCATGTCTTGCACAGCTGGCGGTTCCCATGGGTACGACCTTGTAAAAATTCCCTGTGTTGCACGCCAGGCTGGTGATTTGGAGAAGAAGCTGAGATCCAAATGCATCAGCTAAGGTCTCATTCTGAGTTCCATTGCTCTCTCCCCCCACCTCCCACGTCCTCCTCCCCACCCACGTACCACCTCCCCTAGCTACCCTCCTCCCCCTGACCTGCCACCAACGTCACTGCAGGCTGGGCTCCTGACCCGGTGACCAAGCTGTGGCCGCACCACAAGAGCAAGGGGGGATCAGAAAGGGGCCTCACACGAGAGGAGAGGGCGGAGCTGCAGCAGTTTGTGGAGTCCCTGGCACTACCCGCTACTACTGCATCTAAGGAGTAGCTCATATGAGATTAGCTGATCAAGCAGTGGCATTGCTGCAAGAAACAAAAATTAATTAAAGTGAGAAAGCACAAGAGTATGCAAATCTGTGCCCTCTATGGTGCACCTTTACATAGCCTATAGTAGCAAGTGCACAACACACAGATATGTACCGTAATCATGCTATAGGTAGCGTCGCTATTGATTACCCAATAGTCCAGGAATTGTAAGATCACCTTTCCCACAGCAGCAGGCTCCAAAAGACTTTCATCTTTCTCTGGTGCAGCTGGTGATTGCGTCGAGACAAAGAAGAATTAATTCGGGAACCGATCGTCCCTCGTGCCCTTGTAATTATCTTCGTTCTTCATGTTTGCAGCACCACCTCCGCGACCGTCACGGCCTCCACGGCCTCTTCCTCTCCTTTCTCCTGCTCCTCTACCCACTTGGCCTTGAGGAGGGGTCCATCCATTAGGGAGCTTGAAGCAATCGCGCCACATGTGTCCGCTCTTATGGCAACAATGGCATTCGCCATCGAATCAGGCGCGACCGCGTCCGTGTAGCTCTTGTCGTCGCTGCTGTATCTGCCATTCCCGCGGCCTCTACTGAAGTTACTGCCACCAAACCTGCCTCCTCCTCGTTCTCTGCCCCTTCCATGGCCGTACCCACGACCGATGATTGGTGCACCGGCGCCATCCGAGACCCCAACTCGCAGCAGCGAAAATTCTCTTGAAGGATTGTTCGCTTCACGTCTTCAAGCGAGAGGTGGGGCAAGTCACCATTCAAGTTAATGATGAGCAAGGACCATGACTCGAGGAGTAGGGCCAACAATTTGGTCTTCTTTAGGAGCTCACTATAGTTCTAATCAGCCCTCTCAAGCCGCGTCAACAAGTCGAATAATTTATGCACCCCTTCTTCTATGGGTTCATCTTCGCTTTGATACCACTTGTTATATTCACAATAGGCTCCAATGTGCCTAAAACGAAAAACAGAGTGCATAGACATATTTTTGCACAGCCGCTTTAAAAGTTGATAGCGTTTTGAGCACAACTCCAAATGACATGCTATAACCTGGATCTATAGCGTCTTCGAGTCGTCTGCAATAGGCAATTTAAATCGCACGATTTCATCAAGTATTGACGACGCAACATCATTTTGAACGAACGTGTCAAATGTTATGTCTACTACACTCTGTTTAGGCTGTAGTGGGGTAGTCACTATGGGGTACAGTAAGTTTAGGGTTTCCTACTTGTACCCAACTTTTTCCTAGTGCAATCACTTTTGTTCATTCTGACATAGCATCACGAGCCTAGATTGCCACCTAGGACCGCCTACTACTACGGGCCCACTATTCCGCTAGAAGCGCCCTCGTGCGCCTTTCTCTGCTCGTGCGCCCTCGTGCGCCCCCTTTTTTCTGCTAGTGCGCCCTCGCGCGCCCCGCCTTTCGTTCTGCCTGCGCGCCGTCCTACACCCCTCGCGCTGCCTCCTCCTGCCCTAGGCCAGTGCGCCGACCCTGCAAGCTAGTAGGGCCCTCGAGCCGCCCCTGCAGGTCCGTCAGACCCCTGAGCCGCCTCTGCAGGCCCGTCAGGCCCCTGAGCCGCCTCTGCAGGTCCGTCAGGCCCGAGAGCCGCCCCTGCAGGCCCGTCAGGTCGGCGCGCTGCCCCTGCAGGACCACGCCGCCCGCGCGCAGCTTTTGCTCGACCGCGTGCCGCCCCTGCAGGCCCTCGCCACCCGCTTGCAGCCTCTGCAGGCCCGTCAGACCAGCACGCGACCCCGTCAGGTCGCAGTCGCGGCCCCGTCAGACCGCAGTCGCGGCCCCGTCAGGCTGCAGTCGCGGCCCCGTCAGGCCGCAGTCATGGCCCCGCCCTGCCGTGACGCGGCCCCGCCAGCCCTGCAGCTGACTCGGCCGCGCCCTCTTGCTGACGCGGCCGTGCCCTGCTACTGACGCGGCCGCGCCCAGCTGCTGACGCGGCGTCGCCCCTGCCCGCCGCGTCGCCCTGCTCGCCGCGTCGCCCCTGCTTGCGGCGTCGCCCCTGCCCGCCGCGTCCCTCTACTCGCCGCGTCGCCCCTGCCCACTGCATCGCCCTGCCATACCCCGCGCCAGGCCCCTGGAGCAGCTGCCCCTGGAGCAGCCGCCCCTGCAGCAGCCGCCCCTGGAGCAGCCGCCCCTGGAGCAGCCGACCCTACAGCAGCCACCCCTGGCCCTTGGAGCAGCCGCCACTGCAGCACCCGCCCCTGGCCCTTGGAGCAGCCGCACCTGCAGCCGACCCTGGTCCCTGGAGCGGCCGCCCCTACAGCAGCCGCCCCTGGCCACTTGAGCAGCCACCACTGCAGGAGCTGCCCGTGGCCCCTGGAGCAGCCGCCCCTACACCAGCGACCGTCGCGGCCCTGTCCTTGCCCTGAACCAGCTGCCGCGGAGCTTCCTGCCACAGTCGCGGCCCCGCCCTGCTGCTGTAGCGGCCCCGCAGTCGCCTTCGTCGTGCGCCTGCCCTTCCCACCACTGGTAAGCACTGCCCCGCCCCTGCTGCTACTGCTACTGCTACTCCTGCTGCTCCTTCTTCTACTACTGCTCCTAGCGTGGTCAGATGCAGCTCCAGGGCTGTCCGCGTGTGTCCCTCATGCCCCAGCAGCTTCGTGATTGGTACGCCAGTTGGGGTTGTCGGGGTGGCAGTAGTGGGAGTCGTCCTGGAGTGGGTAGTTCAGGAGCTTTTTGTAGTGGCCCTATGCAGCAGCAGCGTCGTCCGCGAGAGACTCTTTCGCCCCAGCAGCTTCTTGAGTGGTACGCTCAGAGTAGAGGGTCGCATAGTACTGCTCGCTGCCCGTACGTTATTAGCACGGGTGTCCGGACTGATCACCCTTGCGGGACGCGTGGTCACACAGAGTCCCGCTGCTTCGCCCGTCTGAGCGACGCTTGGCGTACAGAGTTTGGCGGCGACGCTGAGCTCTCCGACTGGGTGGAGCTGCTTAGGCAGAGGGTAGATATCTTTGCTCTTGACTATGATGCTATTCTTACTGCAATGTATGCATTGTCTACTAGTGCCGAGGGAGTCTGTCACCTGTGTGTGCCGCCTGACCCCGGTATCCAGTTTGCTGCTCCAGGTGCCGGTGAGGCTGCCGCTCTAGGTGCTAGTGCGTCTGCTGCCCCTGGTCCTGGTGAGGCTGTTGCTCTAGGTGCAGGTGTGTCTGCTGCTTCAGGTGCTTGTGAGTCTGCGCCTTCAGGTACTACGTCTACTGAGGCACTGCACACTTTCACACTGGACTCAGGTGCTTCTCGCTATTTCTTTCACGACCGCACTGCCCTCAAGCAGCTCCCTAGGCTGGTTGCTGTCTCCCTGGCTGACCCCTCAAGGGGTCCGGTCCTTGCGACCTCCACCACTACCCTCCCTTGTCCTGCTGTCCCGTCCGGCACACTGTCAGGCCTTTACCTCCCCTCGTTCTCTACGAACTTGGTGGCGGGTTCTGCGCTCCAGGACGCGGGTGTTCACCAGTTCACCCCTGCCTACGAGTGTGTGACACATTGCACGTGTGCCCAGACGGGTCGTCACCTGGCTACCTTCACTCGGCAGCCGGGGTCGGACTTGTACACACTGACCACTGAGTCCCCTCAGGTAGCGGCGTCTACGTCTGCGTCAGATTAGTTGTCCGCCCCCTGCTCGTATCGCATGCTGTCGCACCGGACGGTCCTCTGGCACCACCGCCTTGGGCACCCTTCGATGCAGCGCCTTCGTGGCATGCACTCTCGTTTCCTTGTCTCTGGTCTCCCCAGGTCACTGCCTCCCCTGCCACCGTCCCCTGCCCCTCCTTGCCTTCCCTGTGTCGAGGGGCGGCAGCGTGCCACTCCTCACTCCTCTAAGTTCCCCCCGACGGAGGCTCCTCTGCAGACCCTTCACATGGACGTGTGGGGCCCAGCCCGCGTCCGTGGACAGGTCGGAGAGCGCTACTTCCTGCTAAAGGTTACTGGAGTGACCTGCGCCTCGACGAGAAAAGGTCCGGAGAAGCGAGGTCGGAGCTTAGACGGAAGATGGCTAATGCCGAGATGGCGTGTATCCAGAAGCACTTGATCGCCAATCTTGATGGAATGATCATTGCGACTCCGATCAGCGAGCTTCTTTTGTTGCTGCTGGATAGTCAAAAGACGTTATGCATGCGCTCCCACAATTGGTGCATAGTGGTAATGAAGTCATGTGCGGGTTGCATCGTGGCGGGTACTGTTGGTTTCTGAGGCGTGAGTAGGTTGCGACCGTAACAGAGGAAGAAAGGAGTTTGCCCTGTTGCGGCATGCGTGGCGTTGTTATACGCAAACTCGAGAACCGGCAGGAGTGCATCCCATTAACAGATATCGTCCTTACACGCTGCTCGCAGAAGTTGTTCGACAATCTGGTTAAGGCGCTCAGTCTGACCATCCGTTTGGGGATGATAGGCTGATGACATGGCGAGTTTGGTC